TTGAAAAGTTTCCGCGATTTCGGTCTCCATTTTGCACTTTTCAGTTGCAAAATTTCATCGACTTTTTCGGTGACTGCGAAGCGCATTTTTGACATCGAAATTTCCGGGACAGAATGTTGCCCGTATGCATCAATACCACCTTCCGGAAAAGGCCTAATATTAAAAACTGACAGCACTGCGACCTGGAAAAATCTTTATAATTGTTCCAAACTTGATGTAAAGCAAACGTAATCATTTAATCTGCATTCCTATACCTGCAGCCTCTCTCAAAGTTCATTCGGCTTTCTTGATCTGTCATTAAAATTGCACACAACAATGTCTTTCGTTATATCCTTTTCATACAAGTACTAAAGCTCAGTTAACATACTCTTGTACGGAAGGACTTTTAACTCAATGTAAATACTCTATCAAGACACCAGTTAACAACTAACGGCCACCTGGTAAGGCATTAAGTCCTAATTTCGGAAATCGCTGAAATTTCAAAGAAAACATTTTCCATGTATTCTAGAAGGTCCAGTCAATTCGAAAAGAGAAATCGATTTTTTGACAAATTTACAATGACGTCTACCGCCTTTCAAAAAATCTGCGTTTATCTATTCGCGTTTTGCGGTGAACAGCAATATTTCGGGTTGTCTTCTGGCTTCTTAATAAAACCAAAGAAATTTTTTTCAAATATCTCATTGTGAGGAAAGAAAATTCCGAATAAGAAAAGCCATAAAAATCCAACTGCTCGATAGATAAATAATTATTAATACAATTATGTCGCAAACAAGTATTCTATTGGAAATTTAATAGACAATTATTTTATATGTTATACTATACGCGCACACATGTAGAAGAAGAACTTGAACTGCAAGCAATGCTTTGAGGTACCAGTTGTTCAATCCACTTCTTTTTCTCTTTTTTTTTAAGTATGAGAATTTGATCCTTTAAAATCGAATTTATTTAGATTGTGAGCTTTATTTTAGCTTAACATTCAAGTTGAACAACTAACTAACTATATATATATATATATATGTATATATATATAAAGTAAACTTGTAATTTGAAGCCGTTACAAAAAACCGTACAACGTACTTATTAAATATTCCCATTAACAATACCGCAGTAACTAGAATAGTATTTTTGTAATGATAAAATACATTTGTGCTCGTTGGCGATATATATTCCGAGAATGTAAAAAAGTAAAGTAGTAAAAAAAAAAAAAAAAAAAAAAAAACATAAAAAATAGACAGATAAACAGATAAACAGGTTTTCGAAAAACATTTCTATGCCTATAATTACACACAGTCACTAAAACACATAAAAGATGAATAGTTCCGCGAGAGAAAGAGCTTAACCCGCGTAAATGTCAATCTTCCACAAAACTAACTACTAACAGTCACTTACGTAATACCTACATACTTGAAATGAAGAAACTTTAACAATATAAAGCATTAAATGACTTTAAAAAAAAATAATAATAAAAGTGTAAGATAGAAAGGAACGGGAAAACGTTTAATGTTCTGTTTTATTGGACTTGTGAGGTGATTCTCCTATTTTTGTTATCAACAAATTGATTTTAGCCGTGTCCGCTCTATTTCCTTCTAGTAAACTCTCCGAGTGAAAACAAGTAAGAACTTTATAGTTGAGCAAGGCCAACTATTAAACACCCTACATCACTTTGCCGATTGCAACTATTTATTTACTTACAAAGACCATACACAAGTATATTAATATCATAAAGCTAAATTCTCCCCATTTAAAGATGCACTTATCATGGGTTATCTCATATAAGAGCGAACCCAAGATTAAAAGTGAGCGAATGCATAACTAAAAGTAGTAAAATTGACTTTTTCTTGTCGAAGGTCGTAGTTGTCTTCACATACTTTCAAAGACACTTAGCTTCATTGCCATAGAAAGGATTACTTTACATGGTAACCCTCCCATGGCGTGGGGTAACCTGCAAAACTTACCTATGTGGTCCAAACGTGATACAAGTAACTTTTGTATCAAGTAAAATCTGCGCAACATGAAAAAGCCATACAGACAGAGCGATAAGCTTAAAAAGCAAAACAATTTTGAATTATTTTGAATCCCATGCGTATCGCATCCAACTACGGGGGTGTTATGCTATACATTAGATTAGATTTTGTAGCTGTCTTGAAGTAAAAACCGCGAACTGCAGGTCAGTGCTCGTGGGCTCACACCTCAAACTCTATCTTTAACTCTACCAGGATTCCACTTTAGTCGTAAGTTTAGTAAATGCTCAGCCGGCAAAGGCTTAACGCTTCCGGCCATCACCTCCCTTATATCTTTCTCTTTCTTTAGTTAGGAGACGTCCGCGGAGTTATTGATCATATTGAAAATTTAAAAGGACGGTTTTGACGACTCTAGGGAATAAAATCGTTAAATGCTCGCAAAGCGTGTACGTATTTAATCAACGTGAATTACCTAATCGACTGGACAAAACAAGACTTTATCCCAACGGCGTTTTTGAGCTTTTTTATACAATCTATTAATAAGGAAAACTCTAAATAATTTATATGTGGGACAAGTGTGCCCCTTCGATGAACGACATTGATGATAAGGCAAAAGGTCGGAGAAATAACATTCGTCTTGGAGTGAGACTATCGAGTGAGATGCCAACTCAAACCAGTTTATATTGAACAATAATGTATCCATCATTTTCACATTGGTCTTCATCATTAGATCGCCTTGCGAAATATTTGCAATGTATTTGAAACAAATTTCTTGCATAAATTACAATTTTACTATTTTCGGACTATGGCAATGATGTCTTCAGCTACTAATTTCTGGCCGCAAACTTTCCGACATACACTTGACGACGGACGAGCGAACTTAACTAAGTCAAATCTTTGCTTTAATTACTTTTAATGATCAATAGCGTTACTTAAATTATTTGGATATTTACATTTACATATATTCACCTACGCACGCATATACGCGTATATATTAGATAGTTTCATCACGTAGTACGATAACCTTCGTAATAAAGGTAACGGTTACCTACACATATGCTCTTGCTAGTTAGTGTATTTAAATATTCAAATATCTTCGGTACGACCGCAACTGAAGTTGGCAACCTTCCAAAAATGTGCACCATTAGATTTATTATATAAAAGCCCGCGGACCACTAATATGCGATTTTTCAAATTATAAAAGAACTTCAATTTTTTTTCTTCTTTTCTTTTTTCATTCGATAGAAGGTTTTGTGGTAGCCGCACTTCAACTCGTTGAAGGTAAAAACAATTAATTTACTCAAATTTATTTGTTTATTTAGAAAGATTTGAAAAAGCTGATTAAATATGTTGAAAACCTGCCTGCCAGCCTATACGTGTGACATGTTTTTTAAACTGACTTTTGCAAGACAGAAAATGTGTTTAATTCCATGTAGAGATTTAATTGCTGTAATATATGAAAATGTCTGTAATATAAACAAACAAATTATGATAAATTTGATTCCAAATTTTCAATGTATCCATATAGTATAATAAAAGTTAATGGAGGCTCTCCATTTACAGCAAAGAGAACTATATATTATGGACTCCGTAAATCCTTGAATTATTTAAACTTCGTCAATGTACCTTTCGCCTGTTATTCGGAACGCTAAATTAACGCACGCTGCTTGAATGTACAGCGGCAGAATAAATTTGCAAGAGGATGCACTGCAGCCAGCACGCCCACGATTGATAAAGAAGGTTTACCTACTATGAGGCAACAAATACAAACACTTCCTTGTGCAATACATCTTGTGAAAATGCACTATTTTGCATATTTTTTAATCAAAATTCGCGAATTTGCAAGATTTCTTTCCTAATATACGTCATGGAGCATTTGAGCGTCCTATTAACAAATTTACCTCGACTCATATGGTAAAGAACGTTTCCGTGACTGTAACGCAATAGTATAAGAAATATAAGAAGAATGCGATTACAGGGCGGATTTAATTAGTTGATAGTGTCAACTTCCGTCAGACCTAGAATAAGTGTAATATGAAATTAGGTTGTAACGAGACGACTTGACGGAATGACTTTAGCAAGGCAAGCATGCCCTAATAATGATAAACGATAACGATAAGGACGGATCGACGGATCATAACGGATATATATATTCGTCATACACACATAACTCGACTGGCAGTTGTACGTACTCCTCATAAAGTGCGAATCTCTGTAAGTGAGAGAATGCCACGTGTCTAAACTTTAATTTTAAACTTCGATGCTAAGCGCTTCGTTATACAAATTTTTTATTATTTATCTTTACTTATCTTCATATATTTCATAGGAAAAAAGTTGGTAAAAGAATTATTTATAAATAGGTTCATTAATACTTATTGAATACTATCTATACTCTCTCGATTAACTTGTATGTTTTATGCTGGGACTGTAATCTTATCAGCGTTTACGTAAAGTGTATTGGATTCTTCAGGGTCTTTTGAGGAATGTGATAAAATTAATGCTTTATTTATTATAAATAAATAAATATGCAGTGAAACTGATATTTATATCACTTGGAAAATCATTCGCTTATAAATAATCTTGAAATACGATATTTCTGCTATCGCAGAAACTACTCAAGCAAGCGTAATCACGATTTAGAATAAAATCTTACATTTCACCAGAAAAAAAAAAAAAAAAACGGAAAATTTCTATTTATGTAAAATATTAAAGATACCTTAAGGGCAATAAAACTGAATAAGAATAAACAAATTGCCTTATGCCCTAAACGGTAATGGGATATAAAAATACATTTTGTTATTTAAATAAATCGTTACGAACTCAGCGGATATAAATATATTTAAAAATTAGAAAATATCTTATCTTAAAAGTTTTAAGAAGACAACTGAAATATTTGATTTGATTTACCTACCGATTCTTTAAATAATCGTTTGATTATTAAGTTTTAATTCTTTTTTAAAAAAATAAATTTAAAAAACAATAATAAACGCAAACATATTCACACTTTGCATTGATATCGAACGTGTTAAACCAACTTACCTTTGACGGATTTAAACTTCAGTTACCGTACTAAACGACAAATAGTTGTTGAAGTAAAATGTTTGTAAAGTTATAAACGAAAAAAACTCATTAAAACGTTTTAAGTGCAAAGCGTTTAATAAAGAAAAAAAAAGTTTTAATACATTACAACAATTGCTCAAGTAGGTGATCTATAAAATGTTTATCTTGGATTCGCAGTACGTCGTTTACACAGTAATATTTTATTGCTTTGATTGCTTTACAACCCCAACCGTTTACGGAAATTTGAGTTCAAATTTTTTTTTTTTTTTGTTTTTTTTAAACCATTATAAAATATGATTTAATTATTTATAAACAAATTTTTGAAACTTTTTTTTTTAATATTTTTTTTTTTTTAAATTAATTACGAATTTTTCGTTATTTGTTTTGCATTTTTTTAACACCGTTTTTCATAGCAAGCATTTAAATATTAAAATTAGAGTCCGCGAAAACACCTAATCCCACGAAGCACTAAATAGTAAGTAAATATTTTCTACTAACGAACACATCGTGAATGCTCTTTGCAGTAATGCGACTTTAGCGCTTTTTATGCTATGCTTATAAACTGCATAGCATTGCATTCAAATAATTATTTAAAAAAAAAAAAGACTTTTTAGACTTTAACTTCAGTTAAATATTCTTATTTAATTTAAACTTGACTTTATTTTAATTTGTCTTCTCAATTAATTTTGTTTCGTTTTATGAAATTAATCTTCTCTCTTCTTATCCTATCCTACAATGCAAAATAATAAAAGTAACAATAATTGCAAAATCGCTTCAAAATTTTTCCTATTAATCAACGGCAGTAAATCTCACCTGCCCGCAGTTAGCAAAATGCTGTAAATTTTTCCTTTCTCTCGTGTTGCGATCTAAAACTCATTTCGCGAGTATTAATCTTGTCATTGCATTTCTTTTACTAAAAATATTTGTGAGTGTTGATGTATATAAGTAGTAGCATTTATAAACAGGACTAAGAATTTATGCATGGTTTTTAAATTATCAGCCGTTATCGTACCCACTCCTTAAGAAATTTTTCATTTCATTATTCTTATTGTGAAGTTCAACATTTCTCAGCCCACGGCTAGAAGTTTTCTCATCCCGACATCCTGCAAGCTCGGTATGTACACCAGCCTACGACCACGTAGTTAGCGCGGTAGATTAATTCGGTCTTTGTACTTTTATATGGTGGTTCCTATTGTCTTGTTCGCTTGATCTACGTCCGTGCCGCTCCATTTCACTATTCTGAAAAAGAAGGGGTTTAACCCAAGTATTGATAGCTTTACGTTTGCATTTTGGATTGAGCTTGGCTTTAAATATCGTGACTAATGTTTTTTCAAATGCCGATCTAATTTTTTCCTTCATTGCTTGCACCAGTACAACCCAAATGAACAAAGGCCAGATATTTGTAGCTTGCTTCATTTTTCAAACTTTCCATTGTATTACCGGTGTCGAAACAAAGTGAGCCTTTATCTTTGCAGATTTTTCCGCATCTAATGTTTACTGCCTTACACTTCTCGCATCCAAAGTTCATCCCAGATCCTGCGCTGAATTCATATAATCATTCTTACTACTCTGCGTGGGTTATCTTTGGTGGGGGGTGATGTAGTTTTATATCGTCCATGTACATTAGGAAGTTGCCGCTGTCCCTACTTGATTGAAAATTATCGCTTTTTTAACAATTGTTTACATTTTCATATTAGCAGTACTGTTGCGTTGAGCAGATATTCTCTCTCCTATCTCTGCCAGCATTCAGTAGTTGCTTTTGTTTACATTTTTTATCCAGATACTTTAGTATATAAAGAGAAACTTCTTGTCCTCTTTCGTGCAAGTTTATGCTTCTTATTCATTACTTATATAGTTGAAAGAGCGAAAACACAAATTGCTTTATTTATTTGGTCATATTTGTTTTACTCATTTGTTATTTCATCAAATTCTAAACGATCAACATATTTTGGCTGTCCATCTATAAAGACTTGCATATATATCAAGATGTCAAAAAAAAAAAACATTTTTTAAATCAAATACATACGTCCGAGTTTTTTGAAAATGGAAAAAAAATACTCTGCGTGGGTAGTATTGAAGTTAATAAGTCACTACATATTGCATAAGAAACGTTACCCGCTTTATTGAGATAGTTTGCAAGTTTGCAAAAAATCTAAATCATTGAAGCTACGTTAGAAAGACAAGAAAACTTTAAATAATATTTGACAATAATATCTAAAATTTGATGTAAATATATACGATAAGAGTGGGTGGTTTCGATGCATTATCCGATAAGAGAAACGAAGCCTAATTACGATCCAGTAGAGATATATCTAAGAGATTTCAACCAAATATTCATTAGGATCAGGATTTTCGATCTAGAAATTCTTCTAATCGATTTGCCAATGCATTTGAAATTAACAAATAAAACACTTACATGGACAGACAGACAGACAGTCTTAGATCGATTTAGAAAATGAATCGATTGAGATCGGTATAATAAAAAAAGGGCCTATCTTAAGCCGTCCTAGATGTTACATACGTCCGCCCAAACTAACAATGAATATAATAGTAAATAATAATAAATAAATAAGTAAATAAATAATTGCCTTTGCAATTAATTCCTCGTGTTACGTTTAATGCTGGTGCTATCACCTTTGGTACTACTTAACGTCATTTTTGTGCAAGCGTACTAGTAGAATTTAACACTAGTCCTACCAAGGAGCCACTTCTATTCATCTTCAACTTTTGAGCTCTCAAGAAAACGTATATGAAGTTCGAAAATTTCTTGGTGGGTGCTTTTTTGTATGATTGAATACCTGTAACCAGTTTTCATCTACATGGTCTAGCCTTTGAGATGCTATGTGATGATATATTCCTATTTCTACCCAAGGTATCCAAGTACCCCATAATCTTTGCGGAATCGCGGCAATCGCAAAAATAAAGATAGAAAACTATAAATTTGCAAAAAGATTCCCGGCCCAAGATTAAAATATGGGTATGATCTGTGTACGTGGCCGCTCAAAATTCAGAAGAAGCGAACGCAACTTCGAAGACGACCGAGAGCTATTTCATATTTTCGTTTATGACTTTAAATCCTGTGAAAATATTTTTGAAAAATTGTTGCCCAGATATTCGTCAGAACGACCTGCATGTTTAGCTGCGCGATATATTATATGCTTTATAAAGGATTCTTCTTTTTGGAGCTCGAAAGTTTAATCAAGTCAAATTTATTTACTCGGTAATCCCAAGGCTTATGCAGATGAAAATCTTTTATGCACTATAGACAAAAGAATTTCATTGCTCTTCTTCTAAAGATTTTATTTCCCATTCTTTTAATAAACTCTTAAATGATGCTTCCCAAGTTTACTAAAAATTTTATTACAGAATGTGATTAACTTGTTTGCGGACCTCCTGCCTGCTATAACAAAGCATTATATGAAGGAAAAATAATACAGAACACCAGTAACAGATAATCATCATATAGCCTACAAACTTCAAATCTCTTTTATGAATGCATTAAATATATTGTTCGATTTTATTAACCATAATTAGTAAGTAAGTTTTTCTACATTACAGACTCACTTCGAAAACTTTTAACTCAAAACCAGCCTTAATCCCTTAAAAAACTCTCGATCTTCATTGAAACATGCACACGATAGCAATTAGATGAATATATTGCAAAAAGGGTTAACTATCCGTTAAATATCGCATGTTATAAAAACTCGCATTATTCCCAGGCTTGATTGGCAGCCAAGTAAATAGCAAACAAGGTCTGCACACTGAGCAAGTAATCAGCTTGTGACTCAAGTGAACCTTCAATGTCTAGTTCATGGCATAAAATGCTTATGTAATCGGTTAGAGAAATCTGCTCAGCTAAACAACGTTGATAGGCATCTTTTATAGCATCGCCAGCGTTCGCATATGATCGCGGCCAATTCATTATCATATGATCGATATCCTTGCGTGGCTGAGCGTCATAAATAGACTGTGACATGTGTACTTGCTCCACTTCGGCTATCCATCGATCGATATCTCTACTGGCTTTAGCTATCGGCACTATAGAGGCCGATGCGCTGCGTGAATTAACGCCACTACCGCTAAGTACGGATCTTAACTTCATTCTCAATAAACTTGGCTCACTCTGGTTACCTGAGGGCTCATCGAGAAAATTCAAGCCCAATTTTTGCAAATGATCTTGCAACTCATTGGCGCGTTCCGGTTTCAAAAGCGACGGTACGTTAACTTTTAAAAAAGCATCCACATCGCCAATCGCTGGTACATATTCCGGTATGAATGGTTGAAGTAGATAGGGTGTATCGATATATTGCGGTGTGTACTTTAAAATATAAGAAAATAAATCTTTAAACTCTTGCGGTAAGGATAAATTTTCCCATTGCTCTGGCATGATACTAAACTGATCATTGGTTTTTGTTGAGTTTTTTTGATTAGAATCCGGCCTTTTGCTAATTTGAGCTCCTTCGGAATCAGTATCAGAAAGCTCAATATTATTTTTAACCAGTTTAGTCCTAGTACGGCTGGCAGGACGTGCTTGAGAATATTTCAAAGCACTACGTTTAGGTATATCCACAGATTGTTGCTTTAATAAATTACGTTGCGGTTGTCTATTCAATTCCAACTCATTATCGTCCTCTTCGTCATCATCATCATCATCATCGTCATCATCATCATCATCAATGTCATCGTCATCATGGTCAATAATACCTTGCAGTAAGCCATCATCGTCAGTAGAATTTCCATGAAACTTTACAATTATTTATGTTATTCACTACTTTTTCTCTCTCTCTCTCGTCCGAAATCATAGTTCATTTAACTTAGCTTACCATTGTTCTTTGCCTGCCGGCAGACATCATGCGTTGATTACCGCTTGCGCCTACATTTAGAGACATTACTTTCGCATTGCTTGGAGGCTTTACATCGGCACCACTTATTGTTATCTCCTCATCATAAAAATTCATGATGAATGCGATGATTGCTAGCGAGTATATATATATATATATATATGTATAACTATTGTAAAAATTATCTGCCAAGAATTCCGTTTCGTTTATTTCTATTGTTCGAACAAGATGTAATCACTACTACTACTTATTGTCACCGCCATTAATAACAATATTTAACAAAAGAACAACTTTCTGTGACGACTTTGTACAGCAGGTCACCGTTCAACATACTCAATAACCAAGTTTATTGTTATGTGTCATGTTACCTTAGTAACAACCAATTTTGCGATAGGGTTAAATATATTTTATAAAAATCGAAGGGAAAAATGAATTTGGAGGAACATTTGCAGCCGCACTCATTCATGACCGACAGGGACCATTACTAACCTACACTCTTGATAGTCTTTGATAAATATTCGTGACAAACTGCAGACTAATATTTGCATTACATTGCAAGTTTTTCACGAAAATGTCTGTAGACACCTTCGATCTTATTTTGAACTTTGAATAAATCTCGTTCCCCTTTCAATATGTTTAGGTTATATCTTACAGCAACAGTGATGCAAGGGCACATTAAGTTTTTTATGAATGTATCACATCCATTTTTTATGAATGTAGAACATCCAGAAGGACTTCGGATAGACCAACTATTTTATTATACCAATTGATTCAGAACTACTTTCCGAATCAAACCTGGGTTACCCTCTTAAAGGCCGCAACATTTGCGATATTTTGATGAGATTTGGTAAACTGACGTGTTTTAGTCCAAGAAAGCGTCCTTTTGAAACGGATTATCTTTCCGACCATTGCACACCATTTAAGAAGAATCGTTATAAGAAAAAAAATTTGCAGTCCTCCATTCTCGATGCAAAATTCGTTAAAAATAATACTTTAGCATACTATACGAATGTGGAAACTTACCTTTTAGAAAAAAAGAAAATGATAATTTGGGTTTCAAAGACATTGCAGATTTATTCCTAAAACCCAACTATCTAAAGTCGATCACAATGCATAAGCCATCGAAACAGGGCCTAATGAATTGTATGAAAAAAGTTATCGTTGAAAATCGTTATTATAGTACCTAAAGTTTCATATAAGCTAGAAAGCTAAGTTGAAATTAAATCAATTATTGTCTTGACGGTTTCAACGATAACCTGACACTTTGCACATTTCATTGAGCATATCCACATTACTTTACCGTGTAATCCTGTGAATAGTTAAAATCTTTTTGAGTACAGGAAGAACGAAAGCTATAGGACATATCTTTGATGCGTCAAAACAATACATAAATTTGCAACGCATATCTCTCGCCTATTAGACGAACGCAATATTTTTATAGAAAACTTCAGAATAATGTCTGTTATGGATTGTAAATTTCATATTTTTTTTATTTTTGCACCAATTTTTACCCTGAAGTTTTATGTGATCTTAGTACATGTTTGTGCTAAATTTCAGTTCGATATCCGAACGATCGAGTTTCACTTTCATTGTATTGTATTGATCGAATTTTGGCTTTCTGTCTAATTTGTACGGCCGTCAGCATTTTAATAATATTCAATAAGCAGACGAAAGATAGATCGATAAATGAACGAAGAAGCCACATTCATTGAAAGAGATCGATTAAATATTTTTATAATGTGCAGATAGCAGAAATTAATTCCCATAACCGATCATTCGAATTTTACATTAAAATAAACAAAAGAAATTACGTTAAATGGTTTTCTGGCACTCAACTTTAACATTAATTTACCAAACACTTTTTTGAAAATGGCAACAATATATATATATGCTTACGTAATAGATAGTCATGCTAATTTGCAGAACGAACCTAACACTCTCTGCTAAATTGCAAAGCCGTCGGCAAAAGTCCCCGTGATCAAGCTGCTGCTTTAAGACTTCAGTCGCAGAATTCATCCTCGGGCTAAATTAATAACAATAATAATTTCGAACTTTATTAAATTAGCCTGTTTATACACTCAATGTCTTTAGGTCTTTAGATTTGCTGAATAAAAGAATTTAAAAAAAAAAATCGCTACAATTTTTATTGTCAACATTTTCACCTGTCTCTCTACAAATTCTATTATTTATAATTACATTGTGAATAGGTAAACTGCTAAATTTAAATTTTAACGAGCAAGGCGAGAATATACCAAGGAAAATATATGAATTTCGCTGTTCGCAATAGTACTAGTGCGTTTTGCTAATTGGGTTAGTACTAATTCGTCATATTTTACTAAATTGTGCTTATTGTGCGTCTACGAGATCTACGAAATTTTACGACGCTGAGGCATATACACATTATTTGACTGTCTTTAGTTTTCTTCTCTCTTTCAAGTTATTAAAGTTTTATAAACATTTATAAAAAGTTTAATTTTATTTTAAATATTTCTATTCTTTTTTTTTTTTTAATTAAAGTAGTTATTAAGATTTTTAATTTGTTTTACTTAACACTGTTAACAACCTCAGACAAGAAGCATAAATAAAGATATTTAGAACAATTTGGAAATTTAAGCAAGAAGCTAATGCGGCAAAATGCCCAATGAAAAGTTTGTTATGATATTTACAAGATATTTCTCACATAAATCTAATGTAACATTTCATTCCTTTACAGCAAGAGTTCGCTAATAAACTCGCCTTTGGAAGCATTTAAGATGGCTTTAATATTTATATTTATTGCCAAAGCTAACGCAGATCGGCGTTTAGATGGTGCAGCGACTTCTTCGGTTATGAACATGTTGACCCCGAATTTGGAAACTCATCATATTGAACGCATTAATGGAAGCATCAATTATCGCTTGTATGGTGGCAAGAAAGCTAAAGAGGATAAACACTGGTTGGATGGGCGTGGTCTGGGCATGCAGCATGTGAAATGTGTACGCCATGGCAGTTGTGAAAAATTAAGTTTTTCTACATGTTTGGGTGCTAAGATTCCATACGAATATACTAGTCTGGATTTGACCACATTTGACGATCAGAAGGATGTTGAAGAACACTTAAGGAAATTTGAAGCGTTAAAACACGTACCAAAATGCTGGGCAGTTATACAGGTATTCACTTGAACGATAAAGCGATTTCAGGAATAATTTTACATTTGTTTTTGTGTCCTTGCAGCCTTTTCTATGCGCTGTTTTTGTTCCGAAATGTGAACAAATAAATGGTGAAGATATGGTTTACTTACCTTCCCTGGAAATGTGCCGCATAACTTTGGAACCTTGTCGTATCTTGTATAACACTCCCTACTTTCCCGAATTTTTGCGCTGCAATGAGACACATTTCCCTTCAAAATGCATCAATGATGTACGTGAAATAAAATTCAACTTAACGGGCGAATGTTTAGATCCTCTAGTAACCGCCGAATCGAGCGCTAGTTATTATCCCTTAATAGAAGGTTGTGGTGTACGATGCAATGACCCTTTATATACTGAGGATGAACACCGTCAAATACACAAATTAATAAGTTGGGTTGCAACATTATGCTTCTTGGCCAATCTCTTCGTCGTTACAACTTTTTTCATTGAATGGGGAAACGCCAGTAAATATCCAGCTCAAATAGTATTTTATATTAATTTATGTTTCATGATTGTTTGTTGTGGGTAAGCTAAATATTTATGAATCCTTGTCATCCACTGCTTATCTTCATAAATCTTCAGATGGTTGGCTCAATTCTATCCAGGATCACGTGAGGATATTGTTTGCCGCAAAGACGGAACTTTACGTCATTCGGAACCTACTGCCGGACAAAATCTGTCTTGCGTGATTATTTTTGTAGTAATTTATTACTCGCTTATAGCTGCGATGGTTTGGTTTGTCTTTCTTACCTACGCTTGGCATTTGCGAGCGGTAGGTAACTTTCAAGAACGAATAGATAAGAAGGGATCCTGCTTTCACCTAGTTGCATGGTCTTTGCCTCTTGTCCTAACAATAACCACACTAGCTTTAAGTGAAGTAGACGGAAATAGTACGGTAGGCATATGTTTTGTTGGCTATCACAATCACGCCACACGTGCTGGGCTACTCTTGGGTCCATTAGTAGCAGTAATTTTGGTGGGCAGTTACTTCATAATACGCGGCATGATTATGTTATCTGCTTTAAAACAATTTGCAAATGGTATTAATTCAACACTAGCCAGTAATAAAATTCACGATATAATTGTAAGAATGGGATTGTGCGCCACATTCACATTAATTTTCATCTTCGTAGCCGTAGCTTGTCACGCTTATGAATTTCGTTATTCGCAAGAATGGTCAGAAAGTCTCAACGAGTATATTATGTAAGCATAAAGTGATATTGTCCAAAAAACAAGTAAAAATCATGCATTGATTCCATTTAGCTGCCGCATTTTCTCTCCCTTCAGCGAACATATTCAGTGTAAAATTGAAAAGCGGCCTAGCTTTTCGGTTTTACAATTAAATTTACTATGTTTGTTCGGTTCGGGTATAACCATGTCTATCTGGTGTTGGAGGTCATCGTCGTTGGATACTTGGAAGCACTGGATACGTAAAAAGTGCGGCAAAACTGTTCAAGGGGAAGTTAAAATGCCCAAACATAAGGTTATAGCACAAACTTGGGCGAAACGGAAAGAACTCGAAGATAAGGGAAGGCTTTCTATAACTCTCTGTAATACCTATACTGATCCAGTGGGTTTAAACTTCGACGCTTATGATATTAAGTCATCGGAGACGGTGGAAATCAGTTCAACATGGGCTAATTATTTGCCGAAATGCGTTAAAAGACGTATGGCTTTAACGCTGGCTAACAATAGCTCGAGTCAAGGACCACGGAAAAGTTCCTTAGATTCAGAAATCAGCTTCAGTGTACGTCATGTTTCGGTGGAATCAAGAAGAAATTCCGTAGACTCACAGGTATCGGTGAAAATAGCTGAAATGAAAACCAAAGTAGCCGCTCGTACAAGCACACGTCAAAGTGGTCACCACCATCATAGCAAACGTTCATCGAATATTAGCAAACGTAATCAAAAACGAAAAGATTTTGTAGCCACTTCGGAACGCAAAACCCGAGGTCGTCGCGAAAGTAGCACTTCCGTGGAATCACAGGTAATAGCGTTAAAAAAAACTATTTACCCGAGTACTAGTCAGAAAGTCGGAGTATTTACCAAAAGCAGCACCAAACGGCATGGCAGAGGTAACAGTAAACGCAGGCCTGGAAATACCAGTAAGTGGTTTATTTGCGTGTTAAAAAATATGAAGAACTTTATTCGCACACTTTTCATTCTTAGATACCACAGACATTGATGAGTTTCTGACCCAAAATAGTCAATGGATCTTACCCCTTCTGCAAAAACGTACTTTAGAGTCTTCTTCGGATGGCGAAAGTTCCCATTCAGCGTTTAAAATGCAGGACTCCTGCTTTGATGTTATGCTCAAGCACGAAACAGAAACAGATGCCAATAGATCTAATGAAGCTCTACAAATTGAGGAAATTTATGAAGCCGAAGCAAATAATCTACACAAAAAACCCACGACAGTCGGGGAATCAATAGAATTGCAAAAATCTGATGAGCATTCAAATCAGAGAATTTCTCGGAATTCTGTGCGTAGCAAACAATCGCGAAAATCTCCATCTAATGCAGCTTGTTCCTACACTAAGAAACGCAACCTCAGACGTCAACGCCACGTTAGTAAATATAAAACTTTATTGAAAGTTAACGATGACAAAGCTTTATTGAAAATGTCCGACTTGAATTTGAATTTACCACGTCATCTCAGTTACGGTGCCAATGGTGACAGTATTAATATGAGTCAATCGTATTCGGAACTAAATTTACCTCTCGATGTTATGCTTAATTCGTCCTACTCGAATTTATCAACCGATAAACCTAACTCCCGAACTAGCAAACTAAGCTGTGATGTGGGAATACAAACGAATACTTATGGAATTGGTAACATTTCAGATAATGATGATGATGAGGATAAGGAGAATTATGATAAAGAAAGGAAAAATCATATAAAATTCGAAAAGGAGAAAAACAACGAAAAGCACACGTTGCTTAAACACAAGCCTAAAGAAACAATTGTCATCCTTAGTGAATCGGAAAAGTTAAAAATGTTATTACTTCCTTCCAAATGAGCAGATGATCCGTTTGTAGTTTACATACCTAAACAAGGCCATAATTTTCTACTTTATTATTATTATTTTTTTTTATTCGATTTTAATAACAAAGTACACAAATAAGAATACTCATAGAATTAACCATATATACATTTATATATATACATATAAAAGTAATTTTTAAATATTTTTTTAAAACATTTTTACATTTATACCGTAACCATTAATGTTCTAACGTGTTCGATGTTCAATATGTGTCAATTTTGATATCTTGTACACTTATAACCAAAAGACTGTTTTGTCCACAATTGTACATACATTTGAATCGCATTTATATTATTGTATTATTCGCGTTAAATTTGGTATCAAAATCCAAAATCAAAGAACGCACACTTATGTTAAATGTATTAATTTACTTAATAATTACTATGTGCCTTAACTAAGAATTCTACCTAAATATGCAATTGTTTGTTTTTTTCTTCACTATGTATTCAGAGGTAAAGGATTTATGAAAAACGAAATCATAACATGCGTTAAAAGTATTGCAGAGCTAATAAGGAGAACCTAGACCAAATTCTCACATACTGTGAACTACTTTCAATAATTATTATTGTTATTAACCATGAGACCAACGATTCAGATCCTTTGGTAGAAAAGTTTATGCATTAGTCTCTTTTGCATTGCCTCTTTTTTGCTGATTTTGTCTTGGTGGAGTTACCCAACGCCCAACTAAACACTTCCTACAACCTTGACGCGATAAATTTATGTTTTGATTATTGCAAGGGCACTTTTGATCATATAACGTTTCCAAGCAAAATCAGCAGTCATGCAGTAAGTTCAACATTTCCAAATTTTTGCACACCAATTTAGAATGCGTGTAATACTACTACTAGTACTACTACTTAGTCACTCTTGCCAAGAAATTTTGAAATAAGCGAAGAACATTCCATACGAAATGCGGTCAATGAAAATTCTAACCTCAAATTGTTCGCCGCTCCTGGTGGAGCTATTAAGCTATTAAGAATGAATACTTAAGATTAACTACCAACAGCTAGAATTTTTACAATGCTCATTTTTTAAAAGCCTAATGAAAGAGGTAACGTATTTGTCCCAAAAGCGTCAGATGTAAATCAATGAGATTGATTTTCATTCCCGGAAGTTCAATATTTTCTTTTCAACTTTGATATATTTTTCTTTCGATTTTTATTATTTTATTATTTTTATTTCAAATTAGAATCAAGGCGAGGTTGCTCTTTTTTAAAAATTGCTTCATGTTTAGTCCTTATTGAGACGTCCTCTTTCATTTACTACAACCTGTTATTTTCGGTACTTGCTTTCTGTCGCTCCCATTTTGTGCACGTTCATTCTTACTTTGAACAAATTCTGCAACTGAAAGAAGAGGGAACACCACCTTAATATTCTCAGTTCAGTAGGAACTGTTTTAAATGTCAACTCACCTCTTTTACTTTGTACCTAGACTTCTTCCCGGTTAGCTTCAATTTTTACAATCTCATGTGCACTTAAATTTTATATCTGCGTAAAATATAGCGTTCGCTTTTTCACTTCAGAATCAGATGCCGCTTAAAATGCTAGACGGATTATCGTTTTTTTTTTTTTTTCTTTGCATCGCGAAACTATTTTTGTGGTATGTATTTTTCTACCGTACAGGAGACAGTACAGTTGATTAGTCATGCTTGTGTACACTTATCGCATTGAGAGTCATTGGTGATTTGTAAACAAAATATTTGCCTTCCCCAAACGGTGTTGTTTATCAGTTCACCTTGTATGTAGATGAACAAAATTTTGACTAGAATAACAGCAAAAGTGTTTCGTCGTTGTTTTTTCGTCATATCAGTTAAAATATGGTAAACCCAGAACCCAGCCTTTTCTTTTACGTAATAGAGCCAAGCTACGTAGGCCCACACATAACTGTACAGAATGAGTAAACTTGTTAAGCGATTAGGATATCTACGTGCACAGAAGAATATGTCGAAAAAAATCAATATGCTGACATTTGCATGCTCGGCTAGGTTCAGCCATCTAAAAATAAGAAAGAATAGCATTATAATATAGGCTAGGTTAAGCCATTTAAAAATATTATTATAATATGTCAACCGGTTCAAGGTTTTAATTAAAAATGAAACTTACTTTGGCACGACGGAGTTAAAGACGGGCGGAGATACCCATCCACCTCCCATGTAATACAAACTCCAATATTGATAAGTAACATACACGGCTAAGGGAAATGCTAAACTGGCAAAGTAATGATCTCGAATTAAACGAATTTGAGGTAAATTCTTCTCCATAGCATTTGTGCCAATCACATCATTCAAGAGCGCTATAATGTAATATAGTGTCTGTATGAGCTGAAAGGATGGAAATTAAGTAAGGAAAATGAATATATATCCTTAACCGACTTACCATATTTTGAGTGGTTAAAAATTTCATATTCCCGCCCAAGGGGTGATGCCAATTGTAAGGGGTAACAGGGTATTTTACAATGCACAAATCATAGAAAAGTGTGAAAGCCGTTTGTACCAATGCAAATGCATGAAATATCAATTGCTGTGACATTCTGATGGCTATACGACACCGTAATTTTTAAAATCGATTTTCTAATTAAAATTTGGAATAAGCAAAAGTGAAAAGCTACTAAACTATTGCATTATTTTCGTTTGACACCTATGTCGGCCAACACAACAGTATGTTTTTAAATCGTTACCAGAGAATCTTTACATTTGAATTTGATCGTATGTAAGCACTTAGGTTATATATATATAGTTTTTTGTCAACCTGGACTTGTAAACTCTATCTCATTGTTCTCATGGCTTCGCGCAATTACTGGTGTACTTACTCCATACATATGTTTGTAATCAAGGAAACGCAATTAGTTTTTTCTTTTTTATTTTAATATTTTTAACAATTGTGAAAATTGTTTGGGTGGAAAAACTTTAATTAAAGTGCTTTGATATTTGATATGACAATGTGTACTTAATTTAGCTCCTATTTTACTTAAATATTTAAATTAAAAAATTACAACAATAAATGTCCTTAACAAAATCGCGTAAAGAAAAAATCTACTATGAAATTCAGAACATAAAGAGAATGCTTGAAAATTCTTTTTGCTTTTTTTTGGCGTTTTCCTTTAATTTTTGCAATATTTTTTAAATAATTTCTAACAATATCATAAGAATTCTTTCGTTTTTGCTCTGAGGTGTATTATACGCTCTTACACAAAACTTCCAAAGATTACAATGATATAAAAATTGTTAGTCAACAGAACAAAAAAAAACATTTAATTCGTTTTACGTTGAGCCATTTTAAGTTCCTTAGACCAAATCATGTTGTTCATAGTTTCGCCAAGCACGTAGAGACACCAATTAATAGCTAATGAGCCAATAAAAAATAAAAGACGCTGAGGAAGCGATAACACCTCCAAAAAAGGGTATACCCAGAGGCCTGAGTAATACTTAACAACATGCAGCCATATTAGATAGCCCAAGAGGAATATGCTGAGTCCCGCCATACCATCGCCTCGTGTTGGGTAGGCACGAAATGAAGTGAACATTTCCAAAATCATAAATACCGCAATATTAGTGTGCATGATATGATTCAGCCAGCTTTAAAAGCAAATTATAAGCACAACGAAATTGTAATCATATACATTAATAGATAAATATACCTGGGGAATACGGCATCCAAGGCTTTCGGTAATATCAGCTCCCGATCAATGGCATATATAGACCAGAAAGTAATGCCAACGTTTAAGGCGAGAGGAAAAGCAAAGGCAGCCATCATGTAGTCCTTTAACTTTCGTATACGTGGTAATCGTTTAGGTGAGACTTCATTGGTGCCCACAAAATCGTTAATTAAGGCAATGGTAAAGTACACGGCTTGTATTATCTAAAAATCAAATAATAAAATAAGTGCAACGAATTTATCAATTTTTGTCAAGGATAAATCCACGTCTTTTGCGCGGATTTTTTCTTTGTTTTTGGTTTGTTTAGAATAGTAGGACTGGTTTTTGAAATCTATTTCTTTATTAACTTTGAAGTAGAATTATACGATAGTTACTGATTGAAGCCAATAACAAATTGCATTAATGATAGAATTGTAACACTCCAATACTCCAATATATATATATATATAATATAGCAACCTTTGGCTGAATAGAAACAAAACTAGAGGCCTACCAATTGAGTGAGAGGAACTATATAATGAGTCTACAAAAGAAAAACTTTATAATTAGTTGAAATGAAAAATGGGTAGCCCTAATAAAAAAAGTTAATTCTTTAAAAAATATCTTTTTTAGATGTTGAAATTAAGTGGGCTGGATCAATGAGAAATATGCCTTCCATCCCCGGATAATAGAATAGATAATATAATATATGCATAAATTTTCTTTTAAGATTAGTTTGCAAAGGCGTATATAATGGTGTAAGAATACAGTTACAACCTTTAATTAAAGCAAAATTATTTTAAAAGAGTAGAAGCTATCAGAAGCTCAAAAGATAACATTATTTTCCTAATAAAAGGGGATACCGGCCCAAGTCAAGCATCATTTCTTGCGTTAAAGTTCATCCTAAAATTAATGAGTGCTTGCAAGTACGCACTCTTTTCTTTTGTAATATTAAGAATATAGGACTGGAATTCAAAAGAAAACATATGAAATTGTTTACAAATTAAAGATCGGCCTGGCGAATTCACAAGCTAAAAAAACATTTTGTATGCACTTCTGGCTATTAAAAACCACAATGTCCATAGGTATGTATCAAATTCATACATGACAATATCTTATAATTCATAGTTTATAATATCTTATAACTCGTAATATAAAAACTTTCGTAGCCTTTTTAAACTCTAACTAGGTGTACCGTTATGCAATTCATATGCAATTCAAACAGTCGTACGCCGGCATTGTTTACGAAAAGGCGTAAAAGTATATTTTTAATTAATTTTTGATAAAATCTGGCAATACCTTAGACTAAAGTCTAACATTCTCTTTCAAACACAATCTGCATCTCACAAGAGGAAAAAAGTGTTCTTTAATCTTTCATCTTCTCTAATATATACGTTAAAATTTATAAAATGTACTGATAAATTCTTTCTGGTGTCCGTTATTAATAATTAATTAATTTTCTTGAATTATGCGATAAGATTAAGTTAATTGCCACTTTTTTATGAAATTATATATGCTTGTGCCATGTTACCTACCGCATCCAGAAATGTTAGAAATTGAAATTTGCCAGCAAAAGTCGCGTCTGGAAGAGTAACAAAATATTGGAAATAATATATGCCGTAAAAAAATTGCGCAGCTGCAACGGAATGCATTAAAATGCGATATGATCCATAACCGCTCTTATAAACCGGATCTGTAGAAGATTTTGTCATTTTCGTAATATTCAAAATTAAAGTATACTTATTTCACTTTCTATAATAAAAAGTTTCTTTTTTTTTTTGTCTAATAAGCAGAGCCAGTGAATTTTGCTGTCATTAACTGATCAAAGCGTACAATTGTTTAAATCGTCGAATCTATCTATCAAATGCCATTTATAATGTCTAGCCCTGAGCGAAAGCTAAAAATGAGAAGAGAATCGGTAAATATTCACTCTTTTGAAGAAAGAAATACGAATTTCTACGTCTATAGTTCAAGTAAGTAATGCTTTTTAGCGAGTTATTGCTCAATGCGAAAATAGATATTGCGGAGCATAACAAATAATCGCTTCAGTTGCCATTAAATCAAATCATATATGTAAAGTTTACAATGAGAATGAACGCCTCAATTTCAAATGTCACAAACTTAATGATATTAGTGGGTCTTTCAGTCTTTTCAGTTTCTATGATAACTTCTTTGACCTTTTTAACACAGCAAATGAAAGCCCAATCTTGTGGAATTGACTCGCTTTATTGTCTTTTGTTTTTCTAGCTAAATAAACCTTATCGTAACATCTACTCTTAAAGTATAGTCTTTATTGCATAAAAGTCTTTGACTTTTTCTTTCTTTTAAACTTGTTATAAAACAAATAAAAATTGTATATAGTAGGTCACGGCTTATCATTGAATATCCTATACCACTTCGCAAATGCAGGCTTTCGTATAACGACTTTTTAATATAGATTTAGACGAAAGTAGTCGAAAAGCTTTTACGACACGACCCGTTCTCAATAGTGTTTGCCTTTGGCCCAAAACATGTAATCGCAGCGAATTTCATCAAAATATCTCAAACGGTGCGATCTATAGGTTAAACCCAAGACAAAGTTAAATCGGTTCACACAGCGACTATCTCATGTCCTTCTGGGTGTTTTATACATCCACGCAAACTTAGTAGTGTGTGCCGCAATTAAGAGGGGGGGGAGCCTTAAAGATCCCACAAACTAAATATATTCTTGATCAGCATCAAATTCTGAATCGATTTAAGCGTCTCCGTCTGTCCGTTTATCTATCTGTGTAACGTGCATTGTAAAGATTTTCTTGACGACAAAAATGTAGTTGTTGACTTTAAATTTGGCAGGTAGTTCTTGCACACAGGTTGGTATTGAAAATGAGCCAAATCAGCCAAAAAGAAGCCCTATGGTAATACATGAACTATATATTCTACGAACGATACTGTAGCACCTCTGCAAAAACGGAAAAAATTTAACTCACCCACTCAATTTTATAGTGTAATAATTTCCTTTTTTTCCAAAACTTCTATAACGCATAGAAGCAACTTTCGCCCACCTCTTTCCCCTTTTTTAGGATAACGCTGATGGGTATAAAGAATTCGTTCATGATTGAACATAATTCCCTTACTTGGTTTTTCTTTAGATTAAGTTAATTGCCACTTGTGCTTTTAAATTATAAATGCTTGAGTCATATTATTTTTACCTACCGCATCCAGAAATGTTAGGAATTTAAATTTGCCACCAAAAGATGATGCGACTGGGAAAACAACGAAGACGTGATCAAAGTAAATGGCATACCAAAATTGCACTGCTGCCACGAAATGCATTAAAATACATAGTGACCCAAGAATGGCCTTATAAACCGGCTCAGCTGATAATTTCGTCATCTTTCAAGCTCACTAGACAATTTTTAAATTGAAGATTTGCAAATTATTTCACTTTCTCCAGTCAGAAATTTACATAGAAAACGCGTGCCCACGAATGTTTTGTTGTTATGAAAGCGTGCAATTTTTCTCTAAGTTGTCAAATCATTTCTGATAAGTGGGTTTTATTTCGAGAGAGTGCTGCAGATAAAATGAGAATCAGCAAACGTTTGCTCTTTTCATAATAAAATAAATGATGCCCGGTGTTGCCATATTTTTAGAAATAGGAGAAATTTTTAACATTTAAATTGTATCGCATGCCGTTTTTGTATAAAATGAGCAATAAGATATACACAGAAGGAAGGAAATTTCTTAATATCAGCATAGACTTATTTTGGGAGGCTAGTATTAAAAAAAATATGGCTTTCGGCTCATATACTTCTTTACATATGGGAAATTGACATTAATAGGAGATTATTCTTAAAGTATGCTAAAAGATTATATATGTTTCTCATATATGATGTTTAGCTTATGCAATTATTGGTGTCATCTATATAAATTAAAACGTCCTCTATGCAATGCATAAGAACTTGCAATTTTATATGCATTCTCAAATTCTTATCTCTTACATTTTGTTAACCTCTGGTTTTCTCTCTTTTCGTTCCCTTTAAATTAACTTTTTAATTGAGGCAAAGTACGTTCTTTAAAGCATTAGTAAAGAGCGTTTATAAATGGTTACAAACAATAGATTTAAACCTTTCTATTCTTGTTTAATTGTCACGTTCGCACGCAATGACAAAGCTATTTTTTATGCACTTGCCTACACTAGCATACAAAAGTACGCATTCTCAATACTTGAAATACGTTTATAATAATATTTTTTTAGAAAGTGATAAAATTGCTGCTTTCGCCTTTTTATTGAAAGTTGCTATACTCGTGGGCAATACAAGATAAGCCTTGCATTTTCGTGACTTCAAAATAAATCTAGTCCAACGAGCAACTTGGAAAAAATCATATTTCTAGCTATGTCGATCCACATATTGAAACGTCAAGATTTAAAAGAATATTTTGATATTCCGATGCTTCAAGTTAAGACAGCCGGTGATCGAAGCTTTGTTATGTTGATAGGATAACAAATTAAATAATAGTATCCAAAAGAATAGTTGCATTCTCGCATTCTCAGATTGTATTATGTATGTTTACACAAAATACTTGCATGTATTGAATTTGTCTACGCACACTCATCAAGTATATGTTTTTTTTTAATGGATTAATAACCTAATAATGTAAAGAAAAATCAATATATACTTTTTTTATGAAAAATGTTATTTACTCTTAAATCGTAAAAAGAAATATGTGCACGTTTCAATTGCATTGGTTTTACTGTGCTGATAAGTATACAAGTGCGAGCGAGCACTGAATAGTAAATCAATCTCAATTGATTTGTGTTTATTTAATTTTACTCCCAAAATAAAACAATGTACGTATGCGATGGAAATTCATTATTTATGCATTCATGCGGTGAATAATTCAATAAAACTGAGAAAATATGTTGCATTACATCTTGGAATAATTTTTAAAATTAGACAATTGCTGAAAATATTTACTTTTCATTGCTATTACTTTTTCATATAATTATTGCACTATGTGTGCGTTCGAATTATTGCCTTATTTCAGCATGCAGCCATGAAAAGGTAATGTTTTTCATTCCATGGTTTCTTCTTCTGTATCCTCTCCCTCTGAGGATGATATTAACTTAATTTCAGTTAATTCTTGTTCATCTTTCTTACTCCGATTCTTATCACTCAGGCTCGCAACACTTTCCGTGGGTAAGTGCTCTTCATTTTTCTTCCCTACTGGTTTCTTAGCTAAAACAGCGGGCTCTTCACTGAACATGGGATTATCGAAAGCTCTTTCTCTAATGCTATCATTTTCGGCATCATAACCCATCACTACTGGCATACGAGTACCGGCGCCCGCCGTTACATCCCGTGCACTACTTCTAGCATTGTCGAAACGTGCAAACATAAAATTAGATCGATGTAATAAACCTCTCCAATTATAGGCCACCCATCGCCTTGGATCGTACATCCATTGCGGTATATATAACAAATATCGGTGATGTGGTACATAATGAGCAAATATTATTAAAGCAACTATGGCGCACAACATCACGCATAGTATAATTAAAATAACCGAACCGAATGTTATATCTGGATTATACGGACGTCCCGAATATTGTAATTTGTAATTGGCCAATGATTGTAAATTTAACTTCTTTATCCAATTAACGCTACTGTTAAGGCTCTTCACAAAATTGACACTTTTCTCATTATAATTCTTCCGATCGACTATAATCGCTTGCAAGTAGATGCCATAGTCTTTTGAACTGTAATAATTCACGTGATAGTCTAAATCGTTTTGCAGATTTTGTTCCTTTGCGGCTCTCTCCAGTATAGTTTGGAGCGTGTGCAATCTTTTACTGTCGCAATTACCCACCTTGAAACTTAGCAGGGAGCCGCATATACTGCAGCAACTGCCCAATGGCACAATTGAAACTTGACAATGGGGTTTCTCACATGATTTCATGACGTTATGACAAACAGGCTCCAAAAAATGATTATAATCTCTATGACAGCCACAAACGTCATTATAATAGTATTCCACTCGTACGCCCGCCTGATTACGAAACAATAGCTCACCGAGATTGGTATACAGTAACTGCCTAACATAATCCTTAGACAGCAAAGACCCAGCAAAACTTAATTGACCCATTCTTAGATAAGGTACATTTTCCAAATCAAAAGCCAAAGGTCCTTTACTTTGTATAACAACAGATTCATTATTGCAAGGTATCTTTTCTAAAGTCGGTATCGCCTTATTTCCTTTCTTCTCGTCAATGCTGCGCCAAGTTGTTGGATTAAACCATTTGTGTACATTGGGCGAGCGTATATAAGCTTTGCCTCTATCGCAGGGTCTTTTCTTTGATTCCCCTTTTAGTACTATGGTAGACTCTCTATTCAAAAGTATGGCACCATCTGCGGGCAATACAAAACCGCCAACTTCAACAAGTTCCGGTAACGGCAATACACCTGGATACTTTTCTGGAAATACTACTGTTTCTCGGGCACAAGGAAGATAATCATTTAACCAACTTTTACTATCATAAAATCCGGGATTATCGATTAACCACTTAGTGCCAGTCGAAAAAGTTATTGACATATGTATAATGGCGAAGAAGAATATATTTAAGTCGAACATTATGAAGTGAACTCTTCAAAGCTTTCCTTGCAACTAAATTTGAAATCAATAAATTAATTATTATTTGGGGCGTTTTATTCTTTATCTTTGTAAATTATCATATATGCAATGCTGGTCATTTTCATGGGGTTATGTGATACACGGTCTATTCTGCTTGTGCGGATATATACAAAACACAGAAGGAATTGAAGTAGACTCGTCTTTTAGGATACCTTGTCTATCCATCTGTCCATCTCATATCTGTCCATGTTCTAATAAGAAATAAATATTTATTTGGCAAAAATGTTCAATTTTTGGTATTTTTTAAAAATTTGATTCGTAACAACAATTTGACATAAGACTTAGCTGTATCAAATTTGAATCGGATAGGTCTATTTTTTGGACTATCATCGATTATAAGGATAGTGATGAAATACTAAATCTTATATGCCAAACGGATAATATTTTAGGATGAAAGTGGGTCTTACTTGTTTTCTGATAAAACTATTGTTCCACCACCGTAAAACGGGTGACGGTAACAAGCCTCTTCTCAAGTGGACTTAATAGCATTAATAAAGGGTTGGAGAGACTAAAAAAAATTATAATCCGAAGGGGAAAGATCGAGCTTTCCGGGGGACATATCAAATATTCCAAGTCAATCACTCCCATATTTTGTCGGCTAATTAAAAATATGCCTTATCTGGCAAGAAGTCGCTCTTCCTCTTAATAAATTCTAAACGCTTTGTCTCCATTGACGAGTTTTTACTGCTTTAGTTTTTGCCAGTAAATATGAAAACTTTCTTCTAGATCTCGGTCGTACAACCTAATCCATAACAGGGCAAAAAGTGTCATTATCTTGTTAGCTGTAAAAGTATATTAAGGTTGTAGTAGAACAAAGAACGTCCCAATTAAAAGCTGCAACTTGTTATTGTATAAGACTTATTGAGACAAAAATTGTTGGTAATATTTCAAAAGGTTATCTCAAGGACAAAGATATAATTGGATCAAGTGATTAAGATAGCTATTGTTAATGTAATATTTTCAAGTGTTTACATACGATTAAAGAAAGACTTGATAAAAGAATCCACATTAAGGTGAAATCTTTTATTAAAAGAATATTTTTCTCTTCAATATTTCAGAATTTCATTTCATATAATATATGTATGTATTCATGAAAAGAAACTCATTACTCGCGCGCGTACGCATATGCACGAATTCTGACATATGTAGCCCCATTCCTTTTGACCATTAATGGTGCGAACAAAACATAAATACAAATATTTTTGTGTTAATAAAAACAAAACGAAAACATTAAGAAGAAGAATTTTGCACAAAAAATATTTCATATGATTAAAAAAATAACAATAAATATATCACAAAAATGTATCTGTAAAGATCACAATGTAACTAATTGTTCGCATTGCGATCATACATATATAAATTTTACAAAATATTAATCATCTTATGACAATTAAGAGCATTTTTCACCCACATTTTTCCAGCAATTTTATTACACGCGGAAAAAAGGTCTACGAAATATTTGCATTATTCCACGTTAATTATATACATATATATGCCAACAATTAAGAATCTTTTAAAAAATGCTAAAAAAAAAAAGAAAAGAATTAACAAATATGTATCCATACTCTATAAAAGTGTATGGGCGAGACTCATTGTTTTATTTTTTACAGAATGTACCTAGAAATTTATATTGCGTGCATATTAGGTGAATAATTATGTCCTTCGTACCATTTGATCTATTTCTTAATGCCAACCTAAGTGCAGGAAGATTTCTGCGAAATTTCAAAAAAATATTAGTTTGGGGAAAAAGAAATCCATTATTTTTATATGAACTTCAGGACTTTATTTAACATGCTTCGGATTGTCCGATTTGGGTCAAATATGCACCGTTTTGTTGTATGATTTGTTGGAAGTCCTGGTCTCTATTTGCAAAAAACTCTAGTAGTCGATTTTCACAATCCTCCCTAGATCCCAATTTTTTATCATTAAAGAAATTTTGCAATGCAAGAAAAAGATGATAATCGCTTGTTGCCAAGTCCGGACTGTATGGCGGATGCATTAAAACTTGCCAACCAAGCTCCCGAAGTTTCTGGCGAGTCACTGTAGATGTGTGTGGCCTAGCGTTGTCCTGGTGGAACACGACACCTCCCCTGTTGGCCAATTCTGGCCGTTTCTGGTCAATCGCTATCTTCAAACGTGCCAGTTGTTGATAGTAGACATCAGAATTTAGCGTTTGGCCGTATGGAAGCAACTCATAATAAATAATCCCTTTCCAGTCCCACCAAATGCATAACAAAACCTTCCTGGCCGTTAGGCCTGGTTTGACACCGTTTGAGGTGCTTCACCGCTCTTTGACCACGATCGTTTTCGCACAGGGTTATCGTATGTGATCCATTTCTCATCTCGAGTCACCATCCGTTTAAGAAATGGGTCTATCTCATTCCAAGGCCAAGGCTTCGCAGATGGAAATTCGATCCATCATGTTTTTTTCTGTTAATTGGTGTGGCACCCAAACATCGAGCTTCTTTTTGAATCAAGCTTTGTGTAAATGGTTTAAAACTGTTTTATGGTCGATTTTTAGCTCCTGGGCGATGTTACGACTGCTAACATGCCGGTCAACTTCGATCATTTCTCCGATTTTATCGACATTTTCGATGACCGGCCTACCTGTGCGAGGTGCATCTTTAACATCAAAAATTCCTGAACGGAATGTACGAAACCAAAATTGCACATAATTGGCTGTTACAGTATCGGAACCATAAACACCATTCACAATTTTAGCCGCCTGGCTTGCATTTTCGCCTTTGTCAAAGAAAAACTGTAAAATGTACCGAATTTTCTCTTTGTCCACTCCCATTTTTAACACGCTGTAACTCACAACTGAATGCACCAAACAAAAAACAGCAAAAGAATTTTTTTACTGCGAAATGTCACCTTTCCAACGAGCATAAATCTGAAATTGTTTGATCGATACTTTACGAGAAATCTATCAGTGCAGCCATCTACCGAAAAAATAATGGATTTCTTTTTCCCCAAACTAAATATATGTATTTTTAGGAATGGAAGAATGTTTACGGCAGATATTTTTGGGATGAGCAGGTGGCCAGACCTACATACTCAAATAAATTAACAAGTTGACCTGATCAAAAATATATAGACTTTAAGGGGTTGCCAAAGCCCGCTCCTACTTATTGCAAACATTTGAACAAAATAATTATACCCGATCCTTCAGTTCTAACAAAGAATGTCGTGTTCATATTGAATCTTATTTAGTTGCTGTTAATTTGCTGAATTGCAAAAGAAGCAGAACATAATTACAAGAGACCATGTCGATCGATTCATTCGTGATGTCTCAGTAACTTGACGGTGGTGTCAAACGGCATTGGCACGCCCTCTAATTATTAAAATGTTTTATAATTTCTCCATATTTGCTCTAGATTATAGGCTTTCTATAGCGACACACTGTAACTTTCTTACTACACCTATCATCGAGAGCATACTGGATTTGCTAAACATTTACAATAACTGTAGGACCGTATAGAGTGTTTTTTATTTATTCTCGATGAGGATGAAAGCTGTATTTAATGTCTTTCATGAGTTTATTTACATATGAAGTGTTATCAATGTGTATGTGTGTATAGCAAAATGCCAAATAACGTATGTTCGCACATTAAAGCATTTCCGCTCTATTTAGGAATCAATTTCTGTATTTAAAATTGTATATAATTGTCAAAATATAGGGCATAATTATGACGATTTGTTCAAGACATTGCCTGTGCAAGTGAATATTCGTGGTGTGGTACAAAACTGTATTATGTGAGCAATAACCAAAAGGATTTGAGGTAAACTCGCATTTCAGAAAGTAGTAATTCTAAGCTTGTCCGTCCATCTACAGGCAGCAATTATCAATATATTTTGATGAAATGCGGTACACTGACACATTTTGGCTGAAGGACGAATGCTATTAAAAATGATTCGGATCCGAATACCTTTTCGTGCATTTCCCTATAGCACCTTATTTCGAAAAGTTGTTATGTGAATAACTTTGAGGTAACGGCCGTCAATCTTTCTTTTCAATAGTTTAAGATATATATATATGTGTATATGCAATGCAATAATTTCTCAGACGAAAGGTTAATTTAAAGAATTTTTTATCTGCCTGAGTAGCCGAAGGCGAGGAATCTCGACTAGCAAGTCAATAGTCGTGGATTCGAATCTCAAGTGCGGTAGAGTTTTTAATAAAAGCCGATAGCCTTAGATGCTAGTTGCTTTTAAGAATTTAATCTTAGAATTTATTTCTCTGTTGAAATTAATAATAATAATAATAATAATAATAAAGAATTTATATTTATATGGCTTACTTACCAAACACCAATAGGTTAGAAAATGTAATTTCTTTTCCCAGGTATCCGCTACCATATGTTGAATAGCTGCGTTTTTTAAACGATAACTCTTTTGTTTATCCCATTTTCGAAAATACAAGGCATAAACGAATTGTCCAAGAGCCAGCAGATGTATAGTGGTAACAAATATACGCGATTTATATAATTCCACTTTTGTCATTTTGCTGATTCGTCTATCGATAATTATATGCGATTAAAGTCAACACTTTAAGGTCAGTGAGGGAAACGTTCTCGTTTATTTTATATGAAAATATCCACTTATGATAAGTCCTGAACTTAAACTCTTCGAATTGTCAAAATATAATTCAAATATAGATAAGGTTAACACTTTCAGTATCAACTGGCTCACATACGAGACGCTTGCAACCTTGTTTGCATGCGTATTACTTCTCCACGATTTGTGCTCATTAAATGCATTAAAAAGCAGCACCAATCTATAAAAAGCGAAGACATGCTAAAAACTTAACCTCAATTTATAACTTTGTTGTCTTCTAAATAAAGATTCGCCGACGATATATATATATATACTTCGGGTTATGACAATATAAGCGCATGAAGTAAGTTTAAAAATTCGATAGTTTGCTACTTAATATATTATTGACCTAATTTTATAGACATCCTTGTTCAATGAAATTCTTTCCTCTTGAAAAAATTATTGAAACAAGTCGACGAAAACTTACGAAGAAAAACTTTTCTTAAATCAGGGGTGGGTAACTTTTTTCATCATCGACGGGCCAGAGAAATTTATATTTTCATTCACGGCGGGGAGCTGAACAGATTGAATGGTTTCACAAAATGATAAAAATTAAAATTTTTTATGAATATTTTCATTATTATCGTGAAAGAAGAAGAATACAGTAAACATATTACGCAAAGCTGAATGTGATGAGTTAAATCGGGAATGTCGGGAAAGAGGAAGAAAAAAGTAGCGAAATTTCTTTCAAACCAACATTTCTTAAAACCAAAAAATTGAACTTCTTACAAAACACACATAAGAAAATTATATTCGGCTCAGTTAATCTAAAAAAGAAAAAAGCTAAACATCCATATTTTATAAAGTATGGCGTGGATGGTTTTTTCCATTTCTTTAGAATAAAAGTGGAAATTTATGCCGGGGGGCTGAAGCAAATATCCCCATTGTTACGGCTATGACTACATTTATACAACAGCAATTAACAGATGGATGACAGACGGACTGACAATTATGTCTAGTAGTAGTAATAATATATAAACTGTCTATATTTGTAAGCTTTTTGAAGCTTCTTTCGGGCAAAAGGGTGAATTTTTAATATACTATAATATTGAGTAGGCGTGGACGATTTCTTTTTATTTTGCTGCAGCACCATCCATAGAATGCAATTGCCAGTATTTGTCGTTGGGCCTGTTGTGGCTTATAGATAACGAAGAAAAAACCGATTTTTTCTGAAGTTGAGTTGTACAATGGGTGCATATTTCGGCCGATTTTGCCCAACTTCAATACCAAACTGCAAACATAAGTACTTCCAATTGAAGCACCTAGCATCGTTTTTGTCCCCAGGGAAATCTTTACCGCGGACATTTCGCAGAAAAGTAGACAGACAGACCGATATCTTACATCGATTTAGAATTTGGTGCTGAATAAAAATACTTTATTGGTTTTACATTTAACAGGCAAAAGTTTAACCAAGGTCTACTTTTAGCGTTTTTAAAGACACCATTTGCAGCCTAGTCTCAATGCAATGTTAAACGAAGAGCATGGTATAAAAATTTACTTTTTATTCAAATTAAAGGCCATTGAATCCAATAATACCTGGTACTTCTTGATAAGATTGTGCACACTTCCCAACTTTTATAGATATTTTATAAACAATATTGGAAGAAAAAGCAGTTATAGTGGCTTTGGACAACAGAAGAAATGATAACCGACTGACGATGTCATTGCCCTCTTCATTTGCAAATGTTCATGTCTCTTACTCTTTGCTACGCTCGTTTTGACGATTATTTTTTTAAAATGTATTTAAGCATAATAATCGCCAATCGCTCCCATTCCCTCAATCATTTTTATTTACCATAATTACGCCAACTACTATTATTCGTTATCAGGAACTATCCGGGAAATTTGCATTAATCACCTACCGCATGATTATTCTGTGACAACCATCCGGTATAAAGTTGAAAATCATTGTTCGCCTTCCTTTGCATCAATGCAAATCAAAAATTTAGTAAAGATTTCATGAAAAGAGAACTGACAGATATCACACAAAACGAGAGTACGCAATAAATATAAAAAAGGATTCTATTTAAAAATTTCTATTGGATGTAAAAAAACAATAGAGTATTATTCAGAATCCTTGTCTTCATTCTGAAATGTGAAGCGTAGCCATGAAAATGAGCTAAGAGGGAAAGGAATTGACAAAAGTAAAAGCACTATAATGGGTCATGGTCTATCATTAAATACCCTACACCACTTTGGTTAATACAGCTGCTCACTTAACGACTTTTCAAAATAGGGGTTTATATGGGGAATAGTCAAGAAAACGGTTCGTTTCGAACTATTTTCAATAGCATTTGTCCTTGGGCCACAACATGTCACAATATCTTAAAAATTGCCATTTGCAGATTGAAGACAAGCATGCACGACGGACGCACAGACAGCCAGGCTCAGGTCGATTTAGAAAGTGATCCTGAATCAAAGGCGGGTCAGTCCATGGGAATTTGCAAACATCTGCATCAACTTAATATATCCTCGCGTACCACCTATCATCTGAGCGATTGCTATTTTTTGCTTATTTTTGGGCGCTCCAGTTACCCTCTTCGGCATCGAAAAGTTTGGAATGTTTTTTTTTAACGTCGTTTTATTTAATGGGCGACTATGAAATTCCTAACGACGAATGGAAAGACGCAGTCCATTGAGCTCTCTATCCTAGCGTTATTACTTTATTTATAGGGTAGCTTTTGCCTACTAAGCATTGCAACCGGGATAAGAAAGCTAATACATCCTACTTTAAAGGGAACAAGATCAGAATTGTACATGTTTCGAGTCGCATATATATAGTAATGCACATCATTAGCTTCTAGCAAATATTAGGTTACAAAAAAAAGCGAATTTTCAGTAGTTGTGAGGAATTTTCGATACATAATTTCTAAGAAAGGCAAATACTGCGAAATATTCTATAGGTAATTGTGGACAAACGAGCGGTCAGATTATATGACTTTTCGAACTTAACCTAATGAAAGTGATTAGAACAAATTTCAAGTAAGGTTTGTTCTTCTAAACAAATATTAGATGGTCTTATTTCGCTCTCAATAATGCAATCGACAGACAACAAGACAAAGCTAAGTGAATTACACTGTTCATGCTGTCCTACATAGAATTCTTTTTAGATTCTTCAAAGCATACTTCAACGCGTAGTAAACATTTTGCAATTCAAATATTCTCCCTTTGTTATGTGAAGTAAACGAAAACAAAAAAGGCAAGTAAGAAAATTATATTTGATCGCGAATCTTTTATACGCATCATAAATCCTGTGAAAGATAGAAAAAAATATATATAAATTTGAATACTCCGTAGTATTGGGTGGGCATGGCTGTTTTTTTTTTTGTAGAAAAACTATTTCTAACGTGTAGTTGTTATGAGAAACGAACGAAAGACACCGAACGCTTGGATGTTCATTGTTTTTCTTGCCTAGGCCTGTGAGCGTTATAGGCATATCCTTTGAAGAATTTCATTCGTTTTCAAATCCTTTTTCTATTTTTTACGAACGGGGCTCTTTATAGTTGCGCAGACGAACAGACGAACATACTTAGGTGTATTCCAAATCTGTAACTGGAGCTAAAAATTTATATAAAATTTAATATAAAATTTAATGTGGGGTTTTTCAAGCTTGCTTCTGTGCCGGAATATTGAAAAAAAATTGAATTTTGATAAGATTGAATAAGACTGTACTGACGTGGTCAATTTTGCCTATTTTTGTGCAGGCGCTACAACATCGCACACAGAATGTAGATTTACTTACTGTACTCGATAAATAATGGGCAAAAAATTCAGTTTTTATTCCTTTTGAAAACTACACATGTCCTGTTTTTACGTTGTACTATAGGCGTGCCCTTCGACTCCCTGGGTTCATTTTCAATATCAATGGTCGCCGAATTTTAAATCCATAATTTCATTTTCACGTCAAAGAAAATATATATAAAAGACGGACGCACGGACACCGATTTATAATTTGATACTAATCAAGAATATATATACTTTGTACAGTCTCTGACAAAATGAATACACCGCTCACCATTCTGTGATGGGTGTAAAAGCGATTTTTCATGACTTTTTTTCCTCCAATCGACTGAAATTTGAGACAATTTGGATTTTGTATAATGAAAATCAAGAAATGCAAAAAATGCAAAAAAAAAAAAATAAATAAATAAATAAACAATACAATTAAGAAAGCTTTATGCGTTTTAAGACGAATTTCATGCGCCTTTATAGAAATGGTATAGGATGAGCAATAATATATTGACATTTTCAGTATATCCGTCTCTTTGATTAGCTTTCTGAGCGCATGATGCACATATTCAAACTTTATCCGTACAAGTCAATCAACAATTTTTATGCCATAATGCAATATTTTATTTTAACTTGTATGATTTTGAAAACGCGAAAAGCCGACTACAACGATTGGAGAAATCTTGCTTACCACCTACCTTGGTAGTAAGTATGGAAATTATTCAACCGTAACCTAAACTAAAATAATTTACACATTCTGACGAAGCTTAGACAGAAGAGGAATTATAATAAAAACAAAAACTAATCGGAATATTTTGTTCATAGAATAAATGTTTGAATGCAAAAAGGACATTTGAACACAAATCTATTTACACATACGTATATATAAAACCGCTTTTGTTTGTAAGATGTTACACAAAAAATTTTCTTAATCAAAGATATCGATGTTTTTTTGCTGTTTTTTTTTGTTTTTTTTTATTCTTTTTCTTTGTAATTAATATGTCCCCGTCAATGGGTATTCACCCCTACTCTTCTCTTTAAGTGTTGATTCGGAACAAATCTGAATGATAAATAAACGAACCGCACAATTTTAGCTTTAAACTACTACTGTAAGTTGCGAACAGGCAATGAAATTTCGATACTCTCGCAGCATGTACGCTTATTACTCATGTTATATACATATACATATATATATATATATATATATATACATGTCTCTATATCTGTCTACGTATCTATATAACTACGTACTTTTGAATAAACGTAGTGCTTAATGTTTACATGTTTGTAAGCGTCAAGAATTACGATGAAATGCTTGTGACTTTTATTTATATTCCAATGCTAGGACTTCTTATAAACCACCTCACACCGTATACTCTCCTCACTTTAAAAGGGCTATATGTTTAAATCTATATATATATATATATATATATATATATATATTCAAAAAACGAATATGGGAAAAATCCATAAACAACTGCGCATGTCAATTGGCCGCATTTACTCAACAACACATTCCGGAATAAGTATTTTTCTTAACGTCATTCCATAAACATTTTTAATCCATACGATGCACTGCACTACTACGCAAACATTTAGGTTACGTGGGCTAAAGTTTTTTCAAGTTATTAACAATGACAAATCTTATTTGAGGACCTTTTTGTAATTATACATCTGAACAAAAGCAAATCTGGAATCAGTAGAACGTATTAAATGATATTTAAGGGGTAAAGTTTCGCAAAAACTCATTTAAGGTACACATCATCGTACGTTATATAGCGTGCGATGTAATCTTATCACATTATTATGCTTTTAATTTACTTACCTATTTATATTCGTATGTGTTCGTATTTACTTACCTATTTGTATTCGTATGATACGAAATTAACCGTTTCAACGATTCATCATTTAGCATTTTCCTTCAATTCGGTTTGCTTTTAAATGTGCTGTGATAGCTTAAGATAGGTTAAAAGCTATCTTTAATATTTGCAATACTTTTGCTTACCTTCAGAACACCGCTTAACAATTTGCAAAGCATTTAAACCCGAAGCTTATATTTCTTATGAATCGATTTTTAGAGTGAAAGTTAGAAGGGACAAGTGAACAGTGTGAAAATCAACAGACCGTCGAGCGGTAAGGCTCATACCTTTTAAAGTCGAGGTGGACAAACTTTGGCTAACAATTCAAAGCAAACGCAGACAGACGCACCGCTCTCATACCACTCGATGTAAACATTTCTTTGTTTAAAAAAAAAAAAAAAAAACTTATTTGAATTGTTATTATTAATTGCGTGGGCAATCCGTATCGCGACCTAGAAGATATATGGTATTGGCTCTAGGCCTCCATTTAAGGATTCGTATGAATCCCACCATCTTCTTTGATGCTCGCCAAACACACGGTGTGTGATTCTGCAGATGGCCTCACATTCGCTAGAATAGAACGGAGCGTCTCACTCGTTCCCAGGAAGAATCTGTATGAATCGAGCATATCAATGTTTTTCAGGTGGTACTTGAGGCAATTATGACTCTGAGACCGAATGTAGGTCGCTTCTTCTTAGTTTCAGTAGCTTATGTACCATACCGGTAGATTTTATAAATTATTGTTGTCGTGCATATTCCTTCCAATGGCAATCCGATTTTTCCTGTACAATATCAGCCTATTAACATGGCTTCTTAGTACGCCACAGAAGAGTTCAGGACTCATTATTATGGACCGTCGGGCCTCCTGTTAGCTAGGCAGTAAGCCCTTACTTTAAATTAGACTTGAAGAAATTTTTGTTATCTCTTTTTTATAAAAAAAAATGTTCAGATACTCTTTGGTATTATTATTATTTTGAAAATCTTGAAGAAAACTTTTAAGAGTTTTCCTAGTTGTACGTATAATGACGATGAATATTAATTACTCTAATATTTCTGTAAGGACACGCGCAAACATTGTATATTATTTTATTTTGATTCCCCTTTGATATAAAGGCTTCCATGTAAGGAGTAGGGAAAATAAATTAAAAATACCTAATGGTCGATCTTATCGGACAGTAAAATTTTTACTTGCTTTTGTCTATTTACTTAATAATCGCGATGCTATGTTCACATGTAAGAACTCCCTGTTATATATGTAAAATATGTTTTATATCACAATAAAAAAGACATAATATTTGCCTTCAAATTTCTTTAGACTTTTTCGTAATCCATTCGATCCAAACGAATTGGTTAATAGAATCAACTTCTATCTATTTGAGCTAATTTACCGGTTTTTTTGAATAACCTGGAATTGGCGAGGAAAACGCTGTCAATCACAATTTGACTGCGCTGCGAGGGTCACTTAAGCTGCAGCCAATAACTAATATTCACCATAAAATTATACACCTTTCAAATAACGGAAAAATTTAATATTTTATGGTTTCAATTGAAATTGTCCGTATTCTATTTTAGAATTCTTTTAGAATTATTCCTTAAATCGTCACACAATTTTAATTGCTTGTTTGCTAGCCCTCAATATCAAGCTAATTTACGGTCGTCAGTTGCAAGTGATTGCGTTGATTCCTCGAAAAAAATCAAAAGCAGCTGATTGCAGTTATTGTTAAACATCCCCCTTTTTGGAGAAAACATTAAGTAAAAATAGTGTTCCAAACAATGTCTTTGACTTCGAAATTAACGTTGACAGTTTCTATTATAACAACCGCATGTATAATCGGATATGTACATTTGAAACAGGCAACAGATCAGTAAGAGAATCTAATACTCTTTAAGAAATTGTTCCTTATATTGAATTCTTTCATACTAAAGAGAAAATCTACATGAGGGTGTTTTGCGCGACATCGAAAGACAGCAAAGACGTAAACTGGAAAATACATATACTCTGCAGAAACAAATCGATCTAACTAAACAGTTGAAGCGCGCAGAACGCGAAGCTGAACAAAATCCAAATGAAAGTGTATAATTTCTGATGTAATAAATCTGTAATATATTTTTACGAAATTAAAATACTAAATTCCTAAATTGATAAGTAAATTGAACAGAAATCGGTTGCCATTATTATAATTATAAAAAAATCATTTTTTTAAAACGAATTCGAAGGGCCATTTGGAAAGGGATCTTAATTGTAGCAATTTTAGTAACGTCCCTTACGACTGTCTGACTGCCGATCGCGACTGCGTGAACGACGACGTTCGCGGGAGCGAGATCTTCGACGCCTAGGCGATCTGGATCGAGAACGAGAGCGCCGTCTGCGAGAATATAAGTACCTGAAAACGCACAATAAATATCTCAGATGTCTTATCTTATCTTACTTAGTTTACCTTCTTAATTCTCGAGATATCGGTTTCAAATGCATAAAATTGCAGAAGCCCGAACGAGTGCATTCACCCATTTCGTATTGGCGACAACAGGCCTCACGAAAATCAGTAACTGGCGACAGTTCCGAATACACCGGGCGTCCTCCAAACCAGCGGTTGTTCAAGTCGTTTGCCGCCTTTTCGGCGTCGGCCTCATGGCGAAACTTGATATACACATTACCTACTAAATGATCGCCCAAATTATCGCATACGTTCATTTCTTCAATTTCTCCATATTTATCCTCGCATTCTACGAATACATCTTCGAAAAAATTATCGTAATGTTCCTGCATTTCTTCATCGGAAACATTGGCCACCAGATGAGAGCCATCAGCTGATTTTGCCGAATTCTGAGGGTTAACATACAAATTCTGCAGCAACACGGTTTGGGAAAATGTCGGCTTGTTGTGAATACGCGAGCAGCGATCACCATGACGGCAAGCACCAATTTTAAAATAAAATGAACAATTTACTCTAAAAAAAAGATTGTATTAATTCCCAAAAGAAAAACACCGCACGCATTCTCTAATACATACTTATCTTTTTCGGTGCCAAAAATGGACGCTAAATATTCAGCCATATTGCAAGCGAACTTTTCGCAGCTTCAAAAAAATTTTAATCTTGCGATGAATTAACAAATGTAAAATAACCTATTTAAAAAAAGTGATTGAAGTGAAAACAAACGTCAATGACTGACAATTTCCGGAGTTTTTTTGAATTTCTTAATAATAAAATCGCAGACTACAAATAATTTTCTTAGTTTCCCTCTTCTTCTTTTAATGTCCGCCGCACACAGCTTGTTGATTACATTTTGTACAGAAAACTTGAACGTACTTTATCTTTGATAATATATGCTTCAATCAAACATGGCAGCACTCTTCACAATTTATTCCGTTGAATGATGCCAATCGCAAATAATATCAGTTATTTAATTAACAAACATATAAACTATGTAATTGCTTCACTATTCCACTGTCATCCTCCCGGTTCACAATCTCAGTTTGTTGAGAAAAATTCATTTTATATTCAACTTAAATTTAAAACACGTTTTTAAAGAACTTTCCTGCATAAAAAAAGAACACATGTTGCAGTTCGTTTTAAAAAAATTGACGCTTTTAAAAGCACTGCATTGATAACACCGTAGAATTTCTAGAAAAAATTAGAATCCAATCATGTTTTATGATATATTCGCATTGACGCAAAAGAGTTTGTAGTGGAAAAGAAGGAGTATAAAAATTGAATTGAGATTTATTGAAAACGTGCTGACTAACTGGCAAAATATCAAATCATTATAAAAAATGGAAAGGGTAAAAACATAATCCGAGATAAAGGAATCGAAGAATTATTAATTGAAATATCACTGTTTCTTCAGGTAAATGAACTTAAAGAAAAAGGAAATCAGGCCTTAAATGCTGAAAAGTATGAGGAAGCTATAGAAGCGTATACGGAAGCCATTCTATTAGATGATAAGAATCACGTTTTATTCAGTAACCGTTCAGCTGCTTACGCGAAGGCCGGCAAATTTTCCGAAGCATTAGAAGATGCAGAGAAGACAATTGCTCTCAATCCCACATGGGCAAAAGGTTATTCACGCAAAGGTGCTGCTGCCGCTGGCTTACACGATTATAGAAAAGCCTTTGAAGCTTACAATGAAGGTAAAAATAAGCTTATTGTTACCAACACTCATACATAACCTTACATTTATTGATTCTGATATATTACAAAATTATTTGTTATTGTTGGTCCTTGAAAAAGCAGAAGTCGGCAAAATTTCGTCGAATGTCTGTTATTAAATCGAATCTCTATTTATTCTAGGTCTTAAGTGTGATCCAAAAAACGCAATTTTACTGCAGGGGCGTCAAGAAATTACTAATACTGTTTTACAGTTTATGCAACAGCAGGGTGGACCGATGCCTATGGACATAGATCCGCCACGTTCGCAACGTTTTGCAAGCTCTTCTGCTCCAAAACCCCAAGAAAAAAAGGCACCCAAGCCGGCCGAGCCCAACCTCAATGAAATGTCGGAGGAAGAGCGTCAAAAATATTTGGCTAAAAAAGAAAAAGAAGCTGGTAATGCAGCTTACAAAAAGAAGGATTTCGATAACGCTCTCGGTCATTATACTAAAGCCATGGAATATGATCCTACAGACATAACGTTCTACAATAACATTGCGGCAGTTTACTTTGAACGTAAGCAATACGATGAATGTATTAAAATGTGTGAAAAAGGTATCGAGATTGGTCGAGAAAACCGAGCTGATTTCAAATTGATTGGTAAAGCTTTTGCTCGTATTGGCAATTGTTATCGTAAAATGGAAGATTATCAACAGGCAAAAGTATACTATGAGAAAGCTATGTCAGAGCATCGTACCCCGGAGGTAAAAACGTCACTGAGCGAGGTCGAATCGAAAATTAAAGAATTGGAAAGGAAAGCTTATATAGATCCAGTTAAAGCAGAAGAAGAGAAAGAAAGAGGCAACGATTTGTTCAAAAAGGGTGATTACAGTACTGCCATTAAACATTACAGTGAAGCAATTAAACGTAACCCTGATGATCCGAAGCTTTACAGTAACCGAGCGGCCTGTTACACGAAGTTGGCTGCATTCGATTTGGGCTTAAAAGACTGCGAAATGTGCATAAATTTAGATGATAAATTTATTAAGGGTTACATACGCAAGGGAAAAATACTGCAAGGCATGCAAAAAACTTCTCAGGCAATGACAGCTTATCAAAAAGCGTTGGAATTGGATCCCAGCAATGCTGAGGCTTTAGAAGGCTACCGCCAGTGCTCCCTAAATTTCCACCGTAATCCTCAGGAGGTATTAAAGAACGCTATGAATGATCCTGAGGTACAGCAAATACTTAAGGATCCTGCTATGCGCTTAATTTTGGAACAAATGCAAAACGATCCAAATGCTGTAAAAGAGTAAGTTTTACGCAGTATTATCAATTTAAGATGGTCATTTATTCTCTTCGATTTTTACATCGTTTTCCAGGCACTTACAAAATCCAGCTATCGCTAATAAAATAATGAAACTTATGGAATCCGGCATCATACAAATCCATTAAAAAAAATTTTTCATTGCCTTTACTATTTACCTCCACTAAACAGTTCCATTGGAGAATGCGCTTTTTATTTAAAGCCGGCTTTGTTCGGGTATTTGGGTTGCGGATTAATAAACTCAACTGCTAAATGTTTTCAATGCTAATTAATTTTGCAAAAAGATTAATATTTGTAAACTGAACTTTCTATTGGCTAAAATTTTCTTAAGTAATATTGTTTTATAACACCTGCAAAAAATTGAACTAGGGGCACTTTCCATCTTTTTAAAAAGCAGTTGTATAAGTTTTTATTAAATATTTTTGTAATATAAGTCACGCAAATTTTTTTAAAAGCCTTCGAAACAAATATCTACACAATAAAGGTAGCAAATAACACATTTGTACACTGATATGCAGGATATTGAATAAATAAAATTTGAAAATTGGAAAAAGAGGAGCTTGTCGTTAATTGAGTAATTTTTGCTTTGAGTTGACGGCACTGTTTTCTCTTATCAGCTGATTGGTTGCTCTTAACAATATTCTCGCAACAGACTAATACTGAATACAAAGGTTCAATAAATATTTTTATTCAACGCCTATAAACGACCGACTTTAAAGATAAATAGAAGTCATTCAAGCCACAATTATGGAAAAAGTTTTTGTAAAATAATGCTACGAGTTTATCAAAAAGCTGCTTATTTGCATAAGAGGATACAATAATGAAAAAAAATATAAATCAATAAGTTACTTAAGAAAACACCACACTAAGAGAAGTCTCGAATACTATATAAAATTCAAGCAATTTAATTTCCAGTAAATTTTTTTAAAGCTTATTTATGTATTTTGCAAAATATGCAATGATAACAATGGCCAACAGAAAAGCACAAACATTAGTTCCGGAGAAACTTGCTTCATATATATATAACTACTAAGAAAAAAAAATAAAAACACGATAAAGAAAACATTTGAAAATATTAAGTGATACAAAAAGTAAATGTTATTATCAATAGCAACAAGAACCTGAAATATTGAATGTGATGTGATTGAAAACGTACTTCGTGCCCTTTAGTATTAAACGACAAATTCAATTCATCGGAAAATTTATCACACGAAAGTAATTCGCAATGAGCATAATATGGCGAGAATTATTTCCTACGAAAACTACACTTATGATATTCATACTCTACATGTCTTTATTTATAGGACAAGGTAAGTTCAATACGTTCATTTTGTTCTGAAAGGTTTGATCTGATTATGGGCTCAGTTTGATATATGAATGGATGCATATGTTACTTTATTAATGAAATTTTAAAAAAATATAATTTTTCAGGCATCTTTGTTACTGCTTCTCAAGAACAAAATAACTCTTATAGCTACAATACAGTCACAGTGGTTCTTCTAACGGAAATTTTGAAGCTATTCATATCTATAACGTTGTATTGTAAAGAGTAAGTTTAATATAAAGGTTTGCTCTAGATGATTCAGCTTTTATTTTTATATGTAGGCATCATTTAACTTCATTACTTGCCGATATGCGAAAAGATTCCAATGTTATGTTGCTCTACTGTGTGCCAGCATTCCTCTATTGCTTATACAACAATTTGTCCTTTGTCAATTTAGCGACGTTCGATCCAACTACATATTATTTATTATTACAACTAAGAGTTGTAATCACCGGATTGCTATTTCAGGTCAGTATTAATTCTAAGGCAGGCATTTTATAGTCGCTATAAAGTTGTAGCTTATTCGTTTAATAATTTACTACATTTTTGTTTCTTTTGCAATTTACAGATTATTTTTAAAAACTATTTAAGTCGAAGGCAGTGGCTGTCATTGGTACTTCTTACAATCGGTTGTATGTTAAAAGAGTTGAATTTCAACTCGTTCCTCACTAATGTTAACGATGATAGTGGAATCTTGGCCGCCCAGCCGCAATCGCTACTCTCTACAAACAATAGCGTAAATTCAAGGATGGCGAACAAAAATATAAGCGGTTTTTCTCTTAATTTTAGTGCTCTGTTAATTTTGGGTCAAATCATATTTTCTTGCCTGGCTGGCGTTTACAACGAATATTTACTTAAGGATAAGGGCGTCGAAGTGAACATATTTGTACAGAATGTTTTTATGTACGTAGATTCGATAGCCTGCAATGTTTTCATATTACTTTTACAAGGCCAGCTACTTGCCGCCTTTACATTAAATAATTTAGAAGCTATATTTCGCTTTAAAGTGTTGATAATTGTAGTGAATAATGCCGCAATTGGTTTGGTAACTAGTTTCTTTTTAAAATACATGAATTCAATACTTAAATCATTTGCGAGCGCCTTGGAATTATTATTCACTGCAATATTGTGTTATTTTCTATTTAATATACCGATTTATATAAATACAGCTTTAGCCATCGCCGTAGTATCATTTGCCATCTATTTGTATTCACAAAGTCCAGTAGTAAACACGGGTAAACTAAGGTCCACGCAAAAACGAAGTGAGTTAATAACGACACTTGCATATGATAATAGAAAATTATTAGAATCCGAAGGTGACAGCGACTTGGAAATGGACATAGTTTAGTGTTTAATATTATAACCAAACGATATTTTATAAACTAAGATGTAAGTTATACCTATGTTTTTATTTATAATTCATTTCTTTTTCAAATAATTTTTGCATTATGTACATAAGCATTAAATCATAACCAAAGTATTTATTTATAAAGTATAAAAAAGCAAATAATCACTTGCATATATATATATATATTGCATATGTATATATGGCTGAACGATGTCAATTTTATAAAAATGTAAATCATTTTGCATTAAACGTAAATGTTCACAAATATGTCTGTTACTTTCATCGATTAGTACGGTTAACTAAACTAAACTAAAAGCCGTTATTTCTGTGTGTCTCAGCAATTTTCATGTATTGAGATTTATTAAAACTATGGCGATCCATGCAACTTTCTAAATGTTGTCTCATTGTACCTGCTGGAACTAAATGGGTTGCATTATAGGCGCACTGCTCCAATTGCGGACCTTTATAATTTTTCCGGCACTTTATGATGTGAGAAGGCATTCGAATTCTCAAGACCCGATGTGCGTTATTGTAAGGACAAACAGCGAATTCATCATCCGACATTGTGCGTTTGTAAACTTATATGTATTCTTTTGCTAATGCAAACAAACGTAAAACCAAGCCACAGAATAAATTCGACTGAACTGTTTTATATTTGTGGACATAAAAAAGAATTGTTACTAGTATGACGCTTAACTGTTAAATGCTGCCTAGTCTTGCAAAAAAAAAAAATGTAGTGTATTTGTCACACTTCGTGTGGAATTCGGATAAACAATTGAAGAAAAAAATGGCATACATCTTACTCAGAACTAGCATTAAAATGCCGCGAGGTTCAGAAGTGGGAACGCGTAAAAACAGAGTTGTTAAGGTACGTTAAAAAGGGGGCGAAAATGTAAAAACGTGGCATAAGATTAGGACAAAGGAATTCAATAAAAAAACAAAATTTTATATCAATTTAGAAAAATTAATTAAATTTAACAGAGTTTTGTTCAACTATTAACAGAGTTCTGTTAAATGAAGTGATGAGCTGGTTTTTAAGTTGTGGAGGTTAAGTTTCGTTTTTAACGTAAAATAAAGAGTATACGAATTTCTTACAGAATTAATATTTGCAACTTGACTTCACTTTCGTCAAACATATGAGCAGCAAGAACAAGACCTATAAAATATATTTATGAGCAGCAAGATGAAGACCTCTGACATACATGGTAGTCATTGTGTTGAGCGGATAAAATGGATGTTGCACAATTAGATGGGGAGATCAACCAATTGAAGAAATTGAGGGAACATTACGAATCACAGTTAAAAATTGTCGGTTTAGATTTGACCGATCTTGATGATGATACACAAATTCTCTTGAATGAATATGTGGATCTGCAGCAGTGCACTAATTTATATGATTTACGTTTATCCAATTTAAAGTCGTTTTATTATGAGAAAAAGAGGGAGCACATTGAATATGATACATTCGTGAAGAGATTGGAAAACGAAATTGAAAAGCAAGAATCAGATTTGGAAAAAAATCAGTCGGAATGTGCTTTACTAGAAAAATTTATTGAGGCTACTAATAGGAGACTGGTTTCGGAATCTGCAATGGAACGCGAAAAATTACAGGTGGAAAGCAATATGAAAACTCTTAATGAGAAATTGAAAAACATAAATATACCCGAAGAGTTTGATATCGATGAACTAATTAGAAAAGTCAAGGCATTAGCAGATAGCAACCATAAATAAAAGTAATTATAAAGTAAATATGTTTCTTTAACTTCAAAAGCGGGTTAAGTAAGTAAGACGTTGCAAAAAAAAAAAAACTCATTTCCTTACTAAAGAAAAAGAAGAAATTGGCGAAATAAATTTATTTTAACTAATTATTTTTGTTTTCCATTAGTTTGCTTTTCTCTGTTTTCTTTTATAATAATCCATGGCTTAGGTTTTTAAATTTGCATGTAAGCAATAAAAGCAAATAGCGTAATTTAAATAATAATTTTCAATGTTTTACCAAGGGAAGTCATATAATGTGGGAGACTAACAATAATTCCATGGAAATACAATATTATTTTGCTTGCAAGAGATTTCTTGTGCTACAAATGATTGATTATGGTTGCAGCATCAGTTGACGCCAATGATTTGTTATTCCGTTTGTGAATGTGCGGCGGGAGATTAGTGAAATAGTAAAGAAGGTTTTTTAAGAATCAAGAATTCTGTAATAAGTTTTTGGCTATTAGACTATTGGCTAAAACATGCGCCATAAATATAAAAATGATTTAAGGATTTGCGCCCATAAAAAAATTTTATTATAAAAAACATTATTCTGTGCATAATTTCGCGACAACAACAATATAATGTACAAGAAGCCCTTGCCTCGTTAGGCTTATTTAAATATAACTTTATTTGGTTTAAACACAAAATAAATTTGTAGCGCTTTATGCGCTTAGTAGTTCAACAATTTTACATTTTTAAAACAGCTAATGTTACGATGTGTATACGGTTTTGTTTTAGGACTTTGCACTATTTGTTTTGCTTGACTTCTTTGGCGTGTTGCAAAGCTTGGCTAACAAGCAATTTCGCCAGCGCTTGCGAGCAGTACTGTGACATGTGCTGAGAATAGGTATTTATTTGTCCAGATGTTATAGTAGCGGTAAGTCGAGCCGGCGCTGGTATAGATCGAAATTGTTTTAGCACTTCTTCTTCCGGTATAGGACTTTCGTCTTTGGCAAGACGCGCAGCATTTTCAGCAGCTTGTTTAGCCAAAGTGCGATGCTTTTCCTAAAATTAATTAGCCAAAATAATAAGGTAAATATCTGCGAAATATCAGAAAGATATACAGGAATTATAACTTACGGTTTCTTGTTTAAAAACGACCTGTTGATACTTATTATAACGTACCGCGTCTTGATATAATTCATCGACACGTTCAATTAGACCACGCATATGATTTTCCAATACGGTGGCCGTAGCCAAGTCTAGAAAATTATGTCCCTGCTCTTCTCTCGATAATTCACATAATTCACTCATCATAATATTGGTTAATAGTGAATTTTTAATGGTTATGGGTATTTCCACAAACAATTTCTCGTAACCCACCTTTAACTTGCGTAAAGCCTCCGGAGTAAAATCATCGTCTTTATACATTTGTATGGCTTGAGGGGACAGACGATAAGCTTTCAAACACAAGAAACCACGGGCCGACTTCTGCGTATCGTAGATAACTACAACCGATTCTTCAATGCTCGTTTGGTAATGATATTGCGATTCAAGCAAAGCCATCGACAGAAAGTCTCCAACATGTGAGCTTTGATACCAACCCACGTGGAAGTGATCTACATTTACTCTTCGCAAGCGACGCATCATAGTTAACTGATACATCTCTTCATCCATAGTTTCATCATCGCTCTTTGGGAAAGGAAAACAATTAGTGATCTCCAGGCATTTATCCACCACTAAACCCAGTAAAGCGCCTTGGGCCACGTTCATGGTGGTACTCTCCTCATGACAGTGCTTAATGATTTTCATAACCGCCTATGGCATAAATTTAAATATATGAGTCTTACGTTCCGCTCGAGTAGTATTTCGCGCATCCACCATCCCAAGAAAATGTATAGAAATCGCAAAATATTTTGCGACGGCTATGTGGGGAAATTTTGGTGGACATTAATAAGTACTAGTTATGATTTCTACTGCAGGCATGATCAGTGTTTAGTCTGTAGTTTATTTTACAGTGATTAACTGAGGACACATATATATTATATTAACTTCTACATATATTATATAGACTTCTCTGTGGGCTTTTGAGCAACAGATACAAAAGTGGACGGATATTTAGATTTTGCAAACGAAAGATAAATTTATTATACGTCTTCCTTTGATGACCTTATGCAACCTTTGAAATCGTACGAAATTGAAAGTTGAGCGAGACCATGATAATTATAATTTGCGATCAGCTAAATATTTAAATGTGCATACATGGCTTTGATTAAATCAGCAAATTTCTTTCTTTTATATTACTTGCATAATTAAGGTTGCTTTTTGTTTACTACTTACTAAACCATCAAACTGCACATGATTAATAGTATTATCCACTTCTTCCTTTTTAGAACTGTTTGCCATCTTGGTTTAACCACTTTCAATTGTTAAGAATGATAAGGAAAAAAATTAACAAAATGAGGCTAAATGATAAAGAAATCAAGCAATACAACGAGTCTGAACGACAATCAGCTGATACTTGAGTGCAATATATATAATTGCGTAGAGCTAAAGAAAGGAAACTACAAGAGGTTTGCATTACGACATGTTGTTGTTGTGGATATGTACATTTCGCGTCGTTTTCATTGATATTCAAATGACTAGAGCTTTGGAAGTAGATGATTTTGGTTAAATAATTTCCTCCATTCTTTCTATTTTTTGTTATTACATTCGCACGAGAATACAATTACATCAACCTCCAATACCAACGAAATTGCAATGTGGCACTCTCTCTTCTCTCGTATATTTCAGTAACACTAATCATTATTCATTACATTGTATGTAAAATCAGCCATCTCTTTTAAAAAATATTCTTTACCAATCTCTCTTATTTCCTCTTTCGCTCTCTCTCTCTCTCTATTTCCTTCTCGATTTATCTAAATATTTTTAATCATGGTACTAATAACTCACTTCACTTCATTTGAGTCATTAACGGCGTATTTCAATTTGGGTTAACAATAATAGCGCCATTATTATTAAAATTAAAAAAAACAGTAAATATGTATTGATCATAATTTATGTAAGTTAGCGGCGAACCACTTAATAAAGCTTGAATCGATAATAAAACGGTACATATTTGCAAATCTGGACTCCATTTCTTCTTAAGTACATCCAAACATATGTTAGGATGATAGATTTTGGTAATGAAAAGTGCTTTCGGCCCTGAAATTGAACAATCCAATAATCCAGTTCCAGTTTGAAAACGCCGCCCTCGAAGGGTGAATCAGCGGGTCCCGTAACAATCACGTGAAAATATCTAGCATTATTTTCATCGGGTATGGCGTTTGTACCTGGTGAACATTACTCTGGAGTAATGTTCACAGAAAAGGGTTCTCAAGGAAGACAGTATTTAAAGTGACTAGTTTGACTTATCTTTCATGCTTATTTAGTAAAAATTTATAAGTCAATGAAAGTATTGTCCATTGAGAGCCAATACTTCTTCCGTCTTTTTGATTTCGACGTGGAATGAGCTGTTTTTCTTTTGAGTGTGCTATGAAGCTACTGAATGCTTTTGGATACCATGGTAAGATTGACTGCGGTGCGTGGATAGGCGAAGGATTTATCGATAGAATGATAATGATAAGAATGATAATAAATTTAAAAGCGGGACCTTACTACTTTTAATTTTTCACTTTTATATCCTAGGCTAGTTGTTTTTATTAAATTTTTGAATTCTTCACTTATCTTCTTCCTAGTCCGCTTATTTTCTGAATGTGGATTTTGTTTTATTTCCATTTCAATTAATTAATTCTCCCATTTTTTTCGTCAAATGCTCTTGGCTATAATTATTTTTAGAAATTTTATATTTCGATAATAACTCAAGTTGAAATCGCACCCCACTAGTAGAGCAATTTTTCTCGCACAATTCTCCGCAAAAAATCATTGTTACTTGCGCTGGTATTTCATGTTTTTTTATCTTCTTTACCTGAAAAAGTTGCTGATCAAAATTTTTGCAAATACACAATATATGTAAAATTTCTCTTTTAGGAATTGGTATTGAGTCGACATTGAAATGAAATTGAATCGAAGCGATATATAAGGTACGGGCTCTATCTTAAGATGTTGGGCTTCCTTTATAATACGACAGAATGGACATACTGCCAATATTTGTACTCTTTTATTTTTTCTTGTTTATTTCTTGAGTTTTATGTAATTACGTATAATTGTTGTAATTTTTTTTTACCAGGTGACTTGGTCTTTTGAAGAGATTTAGGAAGAGTTAAATGACAAAACATAGGCTGCAGAGGCTGATTTAGTATTAGTCGGGGAAGGGAAGGGGGGCCCCCCCCCCCCCGAGAGGAAAAAGCTCTAAAAAAGTAAGCTTATTGGAACTTTTATTATCTTGAGACTTTCAAAAATTATTTAGTTATGAAGTTAATGCTAGTGCTACTTAGTAAAACTCCATCTTCTCAAAAGCAGGTTTGATTACGCACTATTCATCTTTAACGGTCTTATATTAGGTTTATAAATAAAAATCATGGGTTTGTTTGTCTATATAAATTTCATTTTCGTTTTTAGTTGAGTAACTGATGGGCGCAAAATATTTCGGAGACTTATTTTAAATCGTTTCTACCGAGTAATAATTGCGACTACCAGATCTGTGTTTGCATGTTAAAATCTTCATGCGGTAAGTATACCTTGGTTGTAGTTATATTGAATGCTCAGCCGGTAACGCGTAATATTTACCGAATGCGCACTCAGCCACTCCTAGCTCTTTCTCTTTCCTTACTTCTTTCCTACCGTCATCGCATTACATCCCCTGAGTGATGGATCGTACAAAAAAAAAATAGAAGTTTGTTTTTCACTTAGTTTCACTTGTCAAGAAGATGTACGAAATACCTATAAAGGAATGTGGGCAATACTGCCCCGGTTTTATATCTTATCTCATATAAGCATTGAAGTTATACAAATTACCAATATAAGCCATGTTTTTCAAGGGCTTATTTCAAAGAAACTTAATATTTCTCAAAAAAATAATACATATGCAAAGCTGAACTTGCAAAGATGTAAGCGATTGTAGAGTTGCATTTCTTGCAACCGTTAGCCCACTTCGTTAAAGTATATATACAAATTGTTGATGTTGATTGTTTTCGTACGTACTTAAGAACGTATGCGCAATGAGGAATACGTGATTATGCCGAAATAGAGCATCTCAATTACTGCGTGCGACAAAGATTAAAATTGAGTTTTTTCTTTTAATTTTGCATAAAATAATATTTTTTAAGCTTTTTATTAAATAACACATAAACGAAATGCATTCATATATAAGTGCTTACGATCTAAACGAACGTTTATTAACTGCTATTCATAGTGGCAATTATGATGATACATTGTCTTGTCTAATGCAGGGTGCCGAAGCTTCTAATATATCATTAACTTGTGGTCGTACAGCGGTGGGCACAGCGGCTTTAGTGGGCGATGTTGAAATATTGGAATTATTAATACAATCATGCGAAGAACCGGATTTGGACATATTCAAAGCAAGTAAGCTTTGACAAAAAAAAAAAAGGGAAAATCAATAAGAAAACTTGAAATTTCTAGACGCTTTATAAAAGCATTTATTTAAAAAAGTTAATCATTTGACAATGGTTCCTTTTATTTTCAAGATCGTTCCAGTTCAAGTGAAATTGAACTTGACATAACCCCGGACGGCATGGATTGCTTAGAGTGGGAAGATGAATTCATTGCAGACTCTGATAATGAATCGTTGAACGGCAACGATGAGCATATGGAAGAGTTCACTTCATTATATTATTATTACGCTAAAACGTTCGAAAGTACTGGCTCTATAGTTGGTCGGATGGAAAACTACTGCGGTGGACGGACTTCTGGTAAAAAGCAAGATCCACATACGATGGACGCAATGTCAATGACACCTTTGCATTATGCAGCTGCTTGCGGTCATTTGGAATGTGTCCGCCTCTTGTTAGAACATGGCGCCGCAGTGAATACAACAGATTCCAAAGGATATACTCCATTGCATGTCGGATGTGAATATAGTGAAGTGACCAGGCTGTTATTAAAATTCGGAGCCAATGTGAACAGTAAAACGTTCAATACGGGTGATGCTCCATTGCACTTAGCTTTAAGAAATCGTTGTCCAAAAGTCGCCAAAATAATGCTTCAAACTGAACGGGTACACATCAACGAAACGAACGACAATGCCCAAACATATCTAATGTCTGCGATAGCTCACGAACAACATGATATAGCAAAGGAGCTTATACAGCGTGGAGCACGGCTTAATTTACAAGATAACGAAGGCTATACCGCTTTATATTACGCAGTTGTGCAAAATAACATATCTTTAGCTTCTTCTTTACTTGAGCAAGGTGCGCGTCGCATTAATCCTCATTATTTACTGCACTATTGCATAGCAAACAATATGCCAGAAATGTTACAGCTTTTGTTAGATCGTGACTCACATTTGAATGGTTTATTTGTTCGTAATCAAGATGGTTTTGAGCCTGTTTCATTAGCTGTGGTAACACACAAATATGAAATGTTACAACATATGCTTAACTTAGCTTGGATAAGCGGACCTCCTGTTTTAGATTTGTTACGTTTAACGGATAATTTCCTATTGGCCATACAATTCATAGAAACTGTGAAGGATTTCAAGAACGTAGCACGTGTCTTACTAGCCTACAGCGATGGCACTATCTTAAAGCCTCCAAAAACAAAGCACTCTCTTTTTGTCGTATGCTGCGAACCGAATTGTAACAGTGTTTTAACTAAAGCTATTACGCTTAATAAACTGGACATAGCCGAATTTTTATTAAAGGAGGGAGCGAATCTGAAACAAATCTGCCATAGTGCAGTAAATTACCTGAGAACTACTTTGCCCGCGGGTTGTAAAGAATTTTTAAAATTGACAAGTAAGTTTTCAAATTATTTTCCTTATCGTCTAAGCGAACTCTAAACATTTCAATTTGTTCTGTTAGTTTGTATGGGCTTTCAGTGTCCATTTTATAAAACCTTTAATCCACCACCCGATTGGACCAATACCAGATGCGAATTGGAGCGAGAATTACGTTTTCTATGCACTCGACCTTTATCGCTACAAATGTTAACACGAAACTGTATACGCAACAAATTAATGGATAAATTTCATAGCATCTCCAGCACCACCGTTCAATTCTCAAATCCTTATCGCGCAACAATAATGAAGTCAAGTTTACAACAAATGATTGAACAATTAGAAATACCGAAATGTTTACAAACATATTTAATAGACTTTAATGATTGTGATAGTATAATGAGGCAAAAGCAGAATTAATGTTAATAGTAATTAAGAGGCATTTACTACTACTTGGCGAATACGCTATAAAACATGTTAATTAATTATGCAATTAAAAAAGATGTTGAATGATTTCTCTAAATAAATATGTGATTATAGAAAAAGTAAGAACCGCAGCTTTTCATTATGTAACCATCAATGAATGCAAGCAAGGATGCTTCAGACCTTCGCAGGGTAGCAAACGATGGCCACGAGAAAATATATTTTATGCACGAAATATTCCAATTTACACTTGTTGTCATCTCCAGGTTTTCTCATAGTTACGTTAGCTAGAGTTTTGTATGAACCTGTATTCTGTTTTCCAATCAAAGGGTTTCTTTGTTCTCTTAACATTACTATACTTGTTATATATGGAAAGAGAATATTCTTTTTTTTTTTGAAAATAGGATAAA